CCCCAAAAAAGAGTACCTACCAGCAAAACCCAACCTCCCTGAAAAAAAAAAAAGAATCCTCAAAAAAATCCTCACCCTTAAAGAAGGCAGCCTAGGAAAATAAACCAGACATACTGAGTTTTTTGCAATTTGACTAGTCAATCTTCAAGTAAAGCTCTCACTCAATATTTCTATTAAGCTACTCAGACATGTACCGGACGACTTGGTGTGAGGGGTGTTACTTATGGATATGACTACAAAGGGGGTACATGTAGTGAATGCTTTTTAGGGAATGGAGGGAGTAAAGGATGTGGAGTTTTGTGGTAGGACTTTTTAGATGGTGTGGTGTCGAGGCGAGAAAGAAGATCTATTGGGGTGTTTGCGATACGTGAGTATTGAAGAAAGGTGATATGGGATAGTTGGAACTTGGGGCTCTGATCCTCGCTTGGATCTTGATTAATGGTAAATATAGTACTTGTACTATAAGAAGCGCCGGCCATGTTCTTATAGTACGTAGAGAAGAGACTTACCTACCTATAGATTATAAATATAAGTCCTTCTTTTCACGTATAAGCAAGTAGGTACAGTAATACAATGATTTTTAACCATATAAATATTCTAGTACATCTTATAATTTCCCTGTGCAATAAACCCACGCATTTCAGAGGACTCGATGAGTATATACTAGCACTAGTACATATTTCCTCCCCCCCTTTCCCCTAGCTTCGAGTATATAATACCACGTTATCTCGGGCATTCCTTCGGAGCGTCAAAAATTACCTACGATATACAACAAAAAACCCGTGCGTAACTAACGTACCCCCCTCGCTAAACTAATATAGTAAAGTACTTGTATACTACTATACCTATATCTAGCGCCAGTAGATACAACAAGTCTTTTCTAATACTTTAAACCACGTCTAGATCTAGGTTAGAGTTTATATAACACTATATTATTCTAACGTCTAAAAGATAGGATATATAGCAAAAAGCTGTGCAAATATAGTAATATTACAGGTATCTTAACCTAAAATCGGCGGGTGATTTTATATCTTATACAAGGAGATATAGTAGACTAGTCGGATCTATACGCCTAGTACTTAGTACTTATATATCGAGTAAAACCAAAAAGTATAAGTATGGTTTCTTATCTAGTGTCCACACATGTAAATACGCTCAGTCCCTTAAATACTATCTAGTCTAGTCTAGTCTAATCTAGTCCGTCTAATTACTATTCTATTAAATTTCTTTGATTTCTGTTAACCTATGCGAGTACGAGGCATTTTGAATCCATACTACCTACCTATATTATAAAAACACTCTCGCCATTTAATTCTAGCTATTTATATAAAGGTACTCCGGAAGATATATTGTATAATGAATCCCACTTACCCTCAATTATCCTCCTTCTACATCTCCTTCTACATATCCATCTCCTTCCTTCTTACTCAATGCAAAGAATAACAACCCCAACTTTACCATTCCACCATATAATACAATCCAATCCAATTTACCATTCATCAAAACCTCCCCCCCTCCCTTCTACCATCCCACCCCACCCCATCCCGTTCATCTATCTCGTAGGAACACCACGTACAGGGAGGGAGATCCCCGTTTCTAAAATAAAACATACTCGTACGAGTAGAGTATTCTGCCTATCTGTCCAATTTTAATACTAATTCTGATTGGCGCTTTCTCTGGGACATAGGAGAGAATCTATAGCGCTCGAGAAGAGCTGGAAAGAGTCAGAAGAGAGAGAAGAGTTAGAAAAGAGCAAGAAAGGAGAGAGAGAAGTAAAACAGCTCAAGCATAGAAAAAACAACAAAATCCCCATCCATCAGTAGCAGAGCGAGAAAAAGAGTCCGCAACTCGAAAACAAAGCGTAAGACAGTAGTAACCTCTACTTTCCATAGTACAACTTTATATCCCTTCAGAATCCAGGACTTCTTCACCTTCATATAGGTAGGTACATAACACTCAAGCCAAAAAAACCCCCCAAAAAACTTCAATCATCTCCTGAACTGTCATCATCAATTAATCTCGGCTCTTCAAAAAAGAACCACCTACAGTATCTATCTATCGATCCGCCTCCCTCCGTTCCCCCACCCATCCTTTTAGATGCCGTCCCCCCTTCCCCTCCCAGAATTACCCCTCCCTAATTACATCCTTCCCACCGCTCGAGTTTCCTCCACCAAAGATAGTAGGAGAACGACAGTCCAGTGGAAAAAAAAAGAAGAAAAAAAAAGCAAAAAAAAGTTTCCCTCATTCCCTATTATCTTTCATCTCATCTACAAATTCATCCCATCCCACCAAATGACTTCTGGTGGTTCTCATCCCCATCTCTTGAATACCCAAAAAAGGAACCACCCCCCATCTCCCCTTCCCTATGGTGTTCCTGTTGCCAAAAATCTATGTTCAGCGAAGCGAGTGTCGAAAAGGTTCTATATTCATACAATTGAGCCCAGCACAATCCATCCACTTGTGGCAATGGCGGTAACTCTAGCGATAGTGCAGCAGTATTTATTTCTGAAAGAAAAAGAAGAAGAAAAAACGGCGCCTCTATCTCTCCCGCGAGGGAGTGAAGTTTTGCAAGAGAAAAAAAAGTAAGTGCTGAAATGAAGTATTGGCCGAGGTTTCAAATCGATCGTCGAATCTCCAGGTCGGTCGATGTCATTCCAAGGCAATCATGATTAAAATCGTAGGTTTTTCCGGCGTAAAAGGCGCCGCCGTTGCTCCCGCCCCCCGGATCCCATATGTCATTATGGAAGAAGAGGGCGATATTATGTACAAGTCGGTGGGAAAAGTGTGAAGTGGGTTTTTGAGAAACCTGTCCTGTGCCAGAAGTCGAGGAATAAAAAAGTGATGAGTTGGAATTAAACCATATCCGCTCATATGCTAAACGCCGTAACATGAAAATGCCGTAAATCGTCAAGAGGGGTATCGTCTCAACAGGTGGCCTTGTTGAGAATGTTGTTTGGCCTGGGTTCAGGGATCATCATCGGACAACAACTTCGCTGAGTTCGCTGTCCGAGACTTGAGACGCTAATGTTTCGCCCTCCCATGATGATCCGGTCTCGTCTACTGGACTTCTTGATCCGGAAGAAACGGAAGAAGAAGACCCAACAGTCCATTCGTCGCTACTATCGTTGTGAAAATCACGGTCGAGAACTGTCAGGCCATATTCGTATCCATCAACAGTTGGTGCGTCCCCGAGCTCAACATAATCGTAGTCCCATCGGAAGAACTTGTCGTCTTGGATTCTTGGCAAGAAGTTTGTTTTGGCGATGTAAAAAGCAATTGCAGCAAGGAATCCACCGGCTACCAAATCGACCGCATAGTGGTGAGACAGGTACATGGTTGCCCACCACATCCACATTGCGTAACCAATGACCAACGGGCGTAGTTTCGGGAAGCAGTGGCTCATGAATAAGGCTTCCAAGACGGCGTTACCAGAGTGGAGCGATGGAAAGGCGCCAAATACCAACGGTGACGCAGTGAAATTCGTAGTGTACATGTCAATGCCAAACAATTTGTCGATGCGAGCGAGACCAGCTGGGGATCCCTCCATGGAATAATTGGCGGGTGCAAGTCCGTACATGTTCTCGTACCATGGAGCAGAGCATGGGAAGATCAATTGAATTATAACCCCAACGATGTTCAAATACCCAAATGTCCGACCATAGACATTGATTGTTCCTGGGGGAGCGAAAAGGAACATGAGAATAGCCCAAATGAATGGTCCACCAAAATGTAAAATTCCGTATGGTAACCAAGCCAGCACATCTAGTACGGCATTTTGGTGTGCAGAGAGGATGTTGCTCAAATTGGCCCCGTATAAAATATTTTCGAGGGCAGGTAGAACCTTGACCCAGATGTGTGGACGGTACTCTGCAGGAATAAATCTAAGGGACGGATGGTTAGACTTGAAGATTACTAACAGTTGCCGATCGGTGCCGTAAAAAGTCAAAAGATGTGACGCAAAAGTACGTACCGAGCATTGAAAAAAAGAAACACCCAAGATAGAATTGGGAGCGCCGGCAGGAAAAATTGACGAGTGATTGGCATGAGTAAAGCGAGCATGAGGGCAGATGCTGCGGCGGTCTTCATTATTGGCCCGGGTGCCTGACTTATGGACAAAGAGAATATGGCCAGAATAATGAGCAGTAAATATTGGCCATCGTACACCGACCACCTGTGTGCCTTGAGCGCTTTTATCGTGTCTGCTGGATTGAAGGAGGTTTCGAGTCCGGCAATATTCGAAGCCGGAGATGTCGCTGCGCGGAATTGGGAGCGTATGCGTCGTCGTAACCTGCGCGGTAGTGGGTTTGGTATCGACCAGGAAAAGGGCAGCTGCGTCTTCATGAACGTCGGCGAGCTCACGGGAGAGGAGTAGTAACTATTCGTGTCGGGCATGATGATTGTGGTGTCTGGTCCTTTACGGACGAAAATTCCTCCGTATCAACCACAGCAAACGAACGATGTTGACGGGATATGGAGATTGCTCGTGAGCGGATGTGAATGGATGCTGGGAGTAACGAGGTGGCAGGAAAGTCGATGCGATGCGATGCGGGATGCGGATGCTATGAGCTGTACATGAGGGTGGAGATGTTTGATATGTTTCGACAATCGGGAGCACTGGAGAGATTGAGGATGTGCGGAGTGGGAGTGGGAGGTGAGAGTATGGATTGGAGAAATGCAGAGGAAGAAGCTCAAATGAGGCAAGAGCAGAATCGCACGGAGACGGAGTCACTGACGGAAAGCGCGGCCGGTCTGCTCTTCTTGTGCTGAACCTTCACCTTCCCAATCATTAAAGGAGATTGATGGGGCTTGGCGCCAAGGGTGCTTGGGCGACCTTTAAGTGGTCCACCAGGCGCAAGCCACACCACTGGATCCACTCCGGCCTGGACCCACCCGGCTGCTTATGGAAGCAAGCGCATCGAGGCGGGAGCGACGGGCGCAGGGGAGGGCAGGAGGGAGTACAAGGCTGCGCTGCGACTGCCATGATTCCAAGGTTACTCAAGCTCCTCAGGCCACTAGGCCACTCAGGCCACACGCTGGTAGGCCGGGGGTTTGTCGCATAGCGGGTGCTGGTAGTACGAGTAGGTAGTCAGCTTGACAAGGAAAGCGATGAGGCACACACCATCATTTAACATTGCCGGCGTGAAGAGGGCCAATCTCATCCCCAACCCGCTCTATTTTCAACGCTGACCACAGCATCGCGGAATTGCTGTTACACGGTAGCAATGCTGCTATTGCTACTGCGAGCCGCCAGCAGAAAACCCCGTCGCAGATATACTGATAAAATGGTACTTGTCTTGTACAAGTACTGGTATCATTGCCGCGAGTCTCGAGAGCATCGACTTCAGAATTAAGCATTACAAGGTAAAGTCTATTGCTCACCGCGGTCCGCGTGCTGTCTTTTGCTGCACAATTACAACGTACACCGCAGTGAACGTCACGGCGGAGAATTCTACCCAAAGCCAATCCAAAGCCACACATCAGCTTAGGGTTGACCAACCTGCATCGATAGGCTGTCACACCCTCCGGCGATCCGACTTCCGACGTTGACAATTCTTTGTCTGCATCTGCCTGTCAATAATGTAGAAGTAAGCAGTAGTGAGGCTGCCCAAGTCAAGTCCAACCGACCAACGATATCGATGTTGATACGCGTATTATACGACGCAGCGCGGCAGCAGTTCGGAGTACTGGTAGCTTTACCTGGAAACTCTGAGATACATACAGTATTACTACTGCGACTCATGCTAGTACCCTACCTGCTTGAGTATGGTTTTTTCCAACATCATCGAAACGCTGTGCCGACCACTGAGAAATTAGTGCAACCATCAGCCATCGAATGAACGACTCCGTCCCTTAAACCCTCTGGTATGGTGCAATTGACTTCGGATGAAGCACCAACCAACACTAACACTTCAGTTATTGTTAAATGTTGGCATAAATTCCCGAACCGCAGATGTATCTGTAGGTAACATCAGAGAATGCTACAATACAATACTATGAAGCACTTCGTAATACGAGTGCTCTGATGGCTATTCCGAATCAGTTGACGTCGTCGTGCGTCACGTAGACTCATGTTTTCCTTTTTCAGCGCTCCGTATATCCGTGTGGACGAGCACGAGGAAAAGTACCATACTAGTAGCCGTACTGCATATCCAACCCAGGCCATGCTGGTACAGAGATACCTACGGGTTTCTACCATCACCCACCCCATGATGAACCCATCTACCTGGTGAAGCTATTTTCGTATCTCAGTTTCAATAATGCAGTCCCAGATACTCCCGCCATGTTCTGCCTGAACAAGATGTGCCAGAGTTCGATGAATGGGCAAAGAACTCGGGATTCAGGAGAGCACGATCCACTTCAGAGGCTCAGATCAGTTAAATCAACCCGAAATTCGGTTCCTGTACCCAGAATCGGCCTCCTTTGTTGAAACCAAAAAAACTGCCCAGGTGGCTGCCGCGTATCGCGTATTCGTTTCAGCAGGTTCCAGTTCTGAGTTCCGCCTCAATATGGTGACGACTGCCAAATCCTGCGGCTGCGCTTTCTTTTTCTCCCCCACTTGAATCTGACAGATACTCGTATATCACCACTCTACGAGTACAAGATGAGGGACAGTAACAGAGAAGCCTACGAGGAGTGCGAGGGGCATTCTTCATAAGCGATCCGTCAAATGACCCCAACAGTCCCATTCATCTCACCGAAATCTCCTGTCGCACCAAAGGCAATTAATTTGTTACAGTACGAACGCGATTCGAAATTTCTCTAACCGCATGGCAAGTTGCAAGTCGCAGTCGCGCCTCTGATGTCAACGTTTTCCTTATCTCCTTGCCGCCGGATTCTTGTCAAGTGACGATGAATAAGGTTGGCTAGACGCTTTTATTTTGAAACTACATAGTGCCATGGCCGACGTCGTTTGCTGTCAAGTCTACTTCTACCTCTACTCGTATAAGCACAGCACATTACGTCCATACAAACACCGACCTTAGCCCAGCCCTAATTACGTGTTGGCAGAAGTCGAAAGGACTCAGAGCTTCTCACCTGACAGCTCCTCTTCATTAGATCCTTGAAGTCGATCCCTCCCAAGTCGACAAGAGCTTGTCGACTATTATGGAACTTCAAACTCATCACCTTGGTACTTATCCTTATCACCAACGGTACATAAATTTACTTCTACAACACCACTACATCTACGAGATTACCCCATCATCAACCAAATCACGCGCACGCTGGTTCTCGTTGTCTCCGTTCATTCGTCATCGTGCAAACTTTTGCGACTACCCCCCTAAAAAGGATTCCCATTTTTAATCTCAACCAACAGCTCATTTCCCCACTCCGCCGCAAACAACCCTCGCGTGAGTTTTTTTTCTGCCATCACCAGCCACACTTTTCATCGCTGAGCGGCACTTATGCGATCCGAGAGATCCGTTGACTTACCAGTACAGTACTTTCACTACCGTGCACAAAGTCTGCATAACTGGAGAAGCTGAACAACATCTGTCAGCAATTCGATCCCATCTTGAATCTCGCGCGCCACTACTCTAATCACGCTAATCACCGACGGACCGTGTGCACCAGAGTCCGGGATCCGAAGCTATTGTCTTTCAATGACCAGGAACTTGCCTCTCTTCAGTATCGCAAAATCCGGGAACCAAACACAACAAGCATTTGCAGAAAAAGTCGAGGCCCTTCTTTAGGGCGATCGAATCATCAATGACCTTCGATGTTCATGGCCCCGACTCTTCAATGTCTCTCCCTTTTGGCCAATCACCGGTTTTTCCGATGTTCTTGTACGAGAACGAGACCTTGGGTACGAGGTTTCCCGGACCGGGAAAGTCACCTGCAAGTCAGCAGTAGACGGCACTCGCCACCCCCCAGATCTTGGGATGTGGTGGAAGCGAGGATGCCCTGGCTATTGCGTCAAAGTTTCCTGACATGAGGGAGAGATCTGAAGTTTCATTTGTTCTTTCGCGTTCAGCCCAAAGCATCTTTATACTTTGGGGAGTTCCTTGCTAGTTTGGAGGTTTGGATGATTTGTTGATTGTGGCGGGAAGTCTTTTTTCCTTTTTCATTAGTTCGTCCAAGGGGTCGGTAGCGAGGAGTTTGCTTGTGGAGGAGGGGTGGTTTTGATTGGTATTTATCTACAGCACTGGCTGTATTTCTTTTTTGTTTGTTGTTTGTCACTGGCCCAGCATCGTTTTTGTTGTTGGCTTACAATTTGTACGTGGACCAACCGGATGAGTGATGCGTCTTTCGACTATCCTGAGCTTTAATGCATAGCAAACAGTTGCATCTCAGCAGACCGATTAGACACGTCCATCTCTGGAAGCAAGATGTCGAGTGGTCCTTTCTTCTGATCTTCCTCAGATGATCGACGACTCGGTGATTCTTTTCAACGAGGCTCTTTCGTTCTATCCCTCATATTCTCCCGCTCAGCCGTTCTTGACATGCTACTGTCTTCAACTCTCACCTCTATCTTATCATCAAGAACATTCGAGTCTTTCGTCTTCTATTACCTTCCCCTCTTGAACGCAGGGTGGGGATGAGTCTCAGTAAGATCTTACCTTATCATTCACTGGCACTTTGAGTCTTTAAGAGAACGGAGTCGTGCAAGTACAAGTATACACCGAGTCTCCTTTCGAATCTCTATCATCACCTGACTACCTTTCTCGACAATTCTCCTCTTTCCTTAATTCCTCTATATCTCGTTTTACTATAAAATTAGGAAGTTCTCCTCCACCCATGTTCATCCAACTCATCAATCCTACAAGTCTAAATCTACTCTACAATATCTTTCTCGCATACAGCGTATTGAATTCGAGTAGCTGAGTTGAGTAGTGGCACCTATTCAACTCAACTCGAGTAGTGAGAATCGCTAATCAACTTAACTCACCAAGTACTCGATTAAATTATAAGTTACTCAAGTAGTGTCGGCCCGATACCCCGAAGCGCCCCTATCTCGCTAGCCGGACACCGGCCGGTCGGTCCATATATACGGACTTGGCCGGCACGGCCGGGTGCCCCTATATTAGGTATATACTATTTAAGTTTTGTATAAAGGGTCTAGATAGCTTGCGTCGCCCCCTTTCCTATAAACGACTTCTTATAGGTAGGATATAACTCTATAATATCACCCCCTAAGCTTAGTAGATTATCCGATTTATATTAAGGTATATTAGAAAATAACAAAGGGGGTGAGGGGGGCCGGGCTATCTAGACCCTTTACTTTATAGTCACGTTATATATTACTACTCGAGTACTACTCGAATAATTAAATGTACCAATTAACTTAACTTAACGGAATCACCTACCTAATCATACTCATTCAACTTAACTCGAGTAGTACTCGAGTAGGGTTAAGTATCTAACTAGTTTTATCAATACGCTACTCGTATCTACTCTTTCCCTCATCTTCATCTTCATTTTCTTCTTCACCTGCCTAAGAAGATTTACCCACCCACCCATCTCCAGGAATTCCATTTAGGATTCGTATCCCTAATCGCTTTTCTCCGTATCTAGTTAATCTTCTTATCCTTCCTTCCTTAACAAGGGAGGAAGGGTGGGTGAACGAAGCCTGGAGATACTTGCGAAAATCCCTGATTCCCCAAAGGACTCGAAGAAAGCGTACAAATCAGCAAGAAATCATTATATATACCATCTCGCACAGAAATAAAGATACCTATACCAGGACGCCAAAGAGCCCTACCCTTCTCTGATAATTATCTGCTACTTACGTCAAGATGTAGCGTCTGTCGCTCGCGAAATACCCGCCTGGCTGGGTTCACCTTGGTTCGCTGGGCTCTACTGGCTGTAATAATTCATCGCGATTAGAACTTTACTACGAAGTATAAGATAAGATATTTCCGGGTTGGAAGAGAGGAGGATATTAATGATGAGTCGGTTTGGTTTGCGAGATGGCTTTTTATTACGAATGTGGGGATGAAGGTATCTGGTCTGAGTATCGATTGATAGGGTTAAGCTAGAAGCTACTAGAGATGTCCCTTTAGCAAGGCTTGGACGAGGGGTTTGGGGGTAGTGGGTGGGGATGAGGTGCGCTTTTTGGGGGGTAGGAGTGGAGAGTGTAGAGTGGGAAACGGAAGGATGGGGGGATATGTGGGGTAAGGCTCTTTTATAGGGGTGTTTTTTGGTGGATTCTTGGGGGATGTTAGGAGGATAGAAGATAGGAGATCAAAGGGAAGGTAGGGAGAAGGGTCTTTTTTTAGAGGTTTGCTAGAAGTATATATATAGAGAAAGAGAGAAAGTAGGCAAGTAAGCTAAATAAAGTCTTTTTTTAATTCTTTTAAGTAGTTTATTCGTATGGAGTATTAATTGTTAGAAATAGTAAATCGGTTAGCTATATATTACTAGCCAGCTCCCCTCCATTCCCGCTAACGTGGTCCACGCCTCGACATAAGTAGCCAGGCCAACATAGCATTTCGTAATAACGATTGTTTCTTTCCAGAATCCCGATAACAGTCATCACTGATTTAGTACTATATAGTACGTCTACCTCCTATCTCCAACCCCTCACACCATAACGTCATACACATCCCTATCCCACCCATCTACTCGTACAAATCCACACCTCCCCTCTAGTATCTAATGAGCGGATTCGTAGTACAGTTACAAGATACCAACTCCCCAATACACACCACATCGTTAATAAACTAGATGGAGTAAAAAGAACGTATTAGTAACCACGGTTTTGAAATACGAGGAGGTGTAAAGACGATGGTAGTGGGAAAAGGGGGTAAACATACAAATTTACTCCCTGGACAATCGTTCATGCAGAGGCCGCGCCCGCAGTCCTTTGTTTGAGCGGTGTTGAGGCTGGCGAGTGTGAGGGTTAGGAGGGTGGTGAGGGTTTTCATTGTTGATGACGGTTTTTGATTTCTACCAAAGGGTTCTTTTTGGTGAGGAATGGGGGTTTGGATATGCGATTGTGCCTGTAGGAACGGCAGAAATGGATTGGAGGACGTTACTGTACTTGACTACCTTTTTAACGAAATTAGCATTTCCTTTTGCGAGAGAGAGGCGAAGTCGCACCGCCTTCATGTAAAGTGCTGCCAAGAATAGAAAATTGAGTGGTTTGACACCCACTCCTAGGATGATACTTGTACTTACTGCGTAGTCTGGATGGGATGAAGTATGTTTTGCTGTGTTTGGATTTTGGACTGAGGCCGCGACCAAAGGTTTTGCAGGGTTCATGGTGCGGTGGAAATAGATGTGTGTATGTTTTGCAGGTACGAAGACTGAGGTACGTGGAGGTCTGGCAGGAGGACTTGAGGACACTGAACTTGTGTTAATAGGAATTATGGGGGGTTTTTTCCTGATTCTGAGGAGAAGAGGTTTGCTGCTGTGGTGGAGTGTGGGTATTTGGAGATAGAAGGGAGGGGGTTTGTCTATGGGAAGTTGTTCATGGCGGATTTTGTTATTGATTCTGGTCCTAGTATAAGGTGCTGGGCGTGTGCTTTTAAGAACGGAATTGCTCGTCAACGAAGAGGACATACTGACATTGTTTTTTTCTTTAGGAAAGTCAAAGATTCATTTGAATGGTCTGCTGTCGTCAATATAACACCCCTCGAGAGTAACGTGAATTGGAAAGATAGGAACTCTTCTGGCTCTGCCATCTATACCTCAAACCCTCATGATACTATACATTGTACACATTGAATCTGACAATGTCGAAGGCAAAAATATACCTCTGATAAGGAAAACGCTATGGAACTAAGTCTATGGCCTTTAGATATAGGTCGTAGAGAGTTGGGAGATTCGAGAGTAGGGAGATTCGAGAGTATGTAAAGAATTGACGACTTGCGCTAGCAAGTTGGCTTTCCTTGACGAAGCGCTGTGATATATACACCCATAACATTTCTCTTTTCCCCCATGACCTTAGTATCCCAGTGTCTTTCTCAGTGGAACAAACTAGCCTACTTTACTTATTCGACAGCCGTTGAACAGGCTGACGTCTTTGCTGTCTTCCTGAGAATAAAGCGAGTTACACACTATTACCCGTCTGCGTATTGAGTCTAAGCTTCCTATGTATCATCGCGCAACGCTTGGCTATCGAATTTTGTATCGCCACGCTTTAAGCATTAACAGCAGATGTAAGTGGTGTTTATTCAGCCCAAGACGAAGCATGTTCACTCGAGCATACATCCCAAATAAGGAGCCCACAATGAACTTTGAAGAAGAGAAAGATGACATCATATTCAAAAATAGTATATCCTCTTATCCCGCTCGCCTATCCAATCTTCCCCTGAATACCCGCTGAGTCCTTTACTACCGTTACACAGCGCCAGTTGTGTCTCCGCACCTTCCTCATATGGGGTAGAATAATCAGCCCGCGGCTTTACGAAATCGTTGAAACACGTGAGGGATTCTCTCTCTTGGTGCCTTGCTTGCGAGTCAATTTTCGCAGCTAGATAGAAGGAAAGATGATGTCAAACTTGTACCGCCGCTGGATGGGACATTTTTGGTCTCCTTTCTGCCACTTGTGCCAGGAGGATTTCTTGGTTTCGAGCCACTGTGATATGCTGGGTAATGATCTGTAAGTATTATATAAGATTACCTTCGCGGCGTTCAAAAACGGCATTTCAGAGACCGAGAGCCTGTTTACAAGGATTTCAATCGGTCAGGACTGTTTTTAATCCAAATGGTGTAGGAGTATTACTCGAAATAGGGCGGAGATGCTCGGAACGGGAGGTCGGATGTTTGTACGCCTCGAGATGTTGTGTATTGTCGGGATTTGAATTAGCGAGAGGCGGAAAGGGGAGAGGCGATTGTAGATGATGTGAATTGAGTTTTTTCTTGGTTCTAGATAGTTGTGGTACACATGATGAAGAAACTTTTGTGGACACATGATGGGGAATGTGAATATAAGTATGGAAGAATGGAAGGATAGAATGGAGAGCAAAGGTTCAAGTACAAATATACCTATCAAAATCATACTACCAAAACATCAATAAGCGACAACATCTTTACATACCTTCGGCGATGAATACTACCACCACGACGACAGGACAACAAACCACCTCAACAAACACAACACCTATCTCCATCACCGCCACTCTTTCCCTCTCTTCCCCCACCTCCCCAGCCAAAGACCAAAACTAACCCCTCTCCCACTGGATCCTCGCCCGTCACTCCACACGGAAATTTCTCAAATCCCCCATCCCACCACTAAACCTCATCCGCACCTCCCTCCAACTCGCCCAACACAGCCCCTCCAACTCCAACATCCAGCCCTGGCGTCTAACCATCGTCCACGGCAAGGCCCTAAGCCGTTTAACCACCGCCCTAGTATCTGCCGCCTACAAAGAAACCCCCAAAATCCCCCCTCTACCCAAGAAATTCGCACACTACCGCAGCAACCCCGGTGCGCTAGTCTACGGGGCCCCCGGCTACAGTCTCGCCCACGATGACCTCGAGGGACGGAAGAGAGCGGTGTTGAAGAATTACGAGTTCTTCGATGCGCCTATCGGCATCGTGGTTTGTATGGATAGGAGTCTAGGGACGGCGGATAGTCTGAGTGTGGGGATGTTTTTGCAGAGTTTTTTGTTGGCGCTGGCGGAGAGGGGGGTGCAGAGTTGTGTGGAGGGTAGTATTGCTGGGTATCCTGAGATTGTGAGACGGGAATTGGGGATTGGTGAGGAGATGGAGGTTATTTGTGGGGTGGCGGTTGGGTGGGAGGATGAGGGGTTTAGGGGGAATGATTTGAGGACTAGGAGGGAGGAGGTTGATTTTACGACTAGGTGGGTGAGTGAGTGAGGTGTGGTTGGTGGGGTAATGTTGTTATATGAGGGCTTTTCTTTAGTCTACAACAATAGATGTCGAAGCTAGAGCAGAACTCAAGTAGAATTTAAAAAAGAATAGCTCGCGACTACGCAGTATCTCTAAGCAGGTACTTCAACTAAGAATCATTGGTTTTGTCGCTCATTTGTCTTCTCATTTCCTATTTTCACCGTTTTTTGAAGAGACTTCAGTAAACCACAGTGTTAGATGTCTAATCTTCTTCAACTCGTTCAGCCCCCATCAGACTAATCGATAAGGTACTAGGCTGAATTTTCTCAATTCTCATACCGCTTCCAATAAAGTAACACGGATGTTATATACCTATAGATGGTAGATGACTACTGTGACTGACACGCTTTGATGTCGGCGGTATAACTTGATGTGGGAGATAATCAAGCCCAAGAACTTCTCTTTCGGTAAACTTTCGTTTTAAACTTACTCTTTGAATTCTTCTGCGCTTTTACGGGCTATTTTATTTGATTTGATTGGGTTGTAAGGAAATGGGGGAGATGCGATTTAGGTAAGATTAAGAAATACAGATAGAAAAGAGTTCAAGTCTTTCTCGCTTAAATTTCCATAACCATTTGATGATCCCTCTCTCCCCGCTAGTATACCAATAGTAGATATGATTATCCCAATCCTACAAAGCGCTCTTTGAATCATGTGGTTCTTCTCGTCATGGCTCTTTAGTGAGCATAGAAAAGCTCTCCTTATAAGGCTAGTATAACATACCCTTTCCACTTACTACCTACGTGTTTTTATTCAACTAATTTCTCCCTTCATTCCTGTTATAATTTGGTATTTGGAGGAGTCCCAAAACGGATAATCTTCTAGGCTTTATGGACCGAAGAGTATAGGGGAAATGTTTAGGAGGATACGAGAATAGGATTAGTAACCTTTGAATATAACTTGTGCCTCCCAGGCCTGTGGTTAGATACCGGTACGTTGTGAAGAAGGAATTGTGATTGTTAGTAATTGTAAAAGGGAGGGAGCGGGAGGAATGGCTACGAGAGGCAGAGAGTGTTAGGCATCTGTTGAGGGACTAGTAAGATGTTCTCTCTCAAGAGTACCGACTTGGGTAGGTGCGGTGGTGGTTTCCTCTTCTTCTTAGCATAGTGCTCTAAACGTCGTACATGTAAGACATTAAAGCCACACATGGCGAGGATAAGGGAGGGAAAGGAAGGAGAAAAGACTTGATATAACAAGATATCATTCCTCAACCGAAGAGATCGAGAACGAAAGACCCAGAAAACTAGTTTTGCACCTATGAAGCATGAGGGACGGAGGAAGAAAGCATGGGGGTGAAGTAGAGATTACCCAGATTATCAGTCAGCAACGCTCAATAGCGAGCCTAGTAATGTTCCCCTCGCCTCATTTATCGTCGATTCTATACTTACTGTCAAATCTCCCGCTTATCTGTAACTAATTTTTAAATTGTAAGAAACTCGACGTATTCACTTTATAGAACATTTATTATTTACAAGTTCCCAGAGTAACTGTTCATTTAACTTAGTGTTACCAGCTTATTTAAAACAATCACGACCTTAAGCAAGCTATTGCTGGTGAATTTAAGGCTGGCTTCTGTTACATCTTCTCATCAGTTATTCAAAGGTGAGCTCTGCTTGTATTACTTTACAATTAGTTCATTGGGTCGTACAAGAATACCAGTGGGTACAAGCTGTGTATTCAGTATGACACGAGGCCAGCTAATTGTCCTGATAAAAAGTCATTCTCCTAAAAGGTCAGAGATGAATCGTCCAATTTTTCGATATTGAACATCTCCAATCCCCCATCCCAGTCCACACCTGTTATCCTGCTTACCCCGGTAGTGAAGAAAAGTTATGGCCTCCATGACCCCGCCAATTTCTTCGAATTGGGATTTGTTGTTGTAGTTGTATATTGTTTTTGTAGATATTGTTATGTTTCTCCTAGCCTTTTGGTTGTGTGTGATTATGTGAGTTATAATAAGAAGGGGAGCGTATATAGAGATGACAGCAGTCTCACACTATATGCATCCTCTTACTCGCGATCCTCCTTGTCAAAAAGCCTGGACGATGCCAACAAGAATTCTTCCGGTTTCTTAAGTTCAATCGACCCAAGTAATCGTACACGAAATTTATAGAGCATCAGAGTTGACATTCCTATCCCAAATCGATTACGAATAGCTGCATCCCCTGACTTACTAATATACCATCGATCTCCTACAAGGTACTGTACCAACTAACTCCAATTATTATATATTACCATCCCTCTTCCAGCGATTCGGATACCTGGAATTCCAGCAAAAATGGGTCAATCTCAAGATTGGACTACTATCGAGATATGATGGCATCGATATGGCTACGAAAGGGGGCATACCGGATGGGTGTGTGAGCTCCCAAATTCGAAATGGGTTTGGGATCTTTCCAGTCAGCGGCCCCATTGACGGAGAAGTATATACATTAGCTTAATCTACCGTCGATTTCATACTTACTGTCGAATCTTCTAATTATTCACAATTCATTCCCAACGACCAGGAAGCCCACGGTCATCCCTCTAAGAAGGAATTTTGCTCTCAAGAAGCGTCTCGTAGCGAAAAGAGTCTTAGTCTGCTTACCCATTTAGCGTGGAAAAACAATGACCTTCGTGGCCCCCACTCTATTCTCTAACCCAATGATTCCAAAACATGGCATGTTGGCCGTTCTTATATAGACAAATTCACTACGGAATCAAATCTGTCTGCTTCTATAGATTCGTTTTTCACCGCGTATATACGTACTTAATCAATAACACAAGTAGCTATTTGTTTCTCGTGAAGCTGTAATAAAAAAGTGTACTTCTTAATGTTTCTCATATACAAAGATAGAACGGTAGTTGTGGATGTGGAAGTGGAACAGCTTTCTTTGCTAAGAAGTGCAGAGCGAACCTCGCTTAAATATGTACAGTGAAAACTCTTCTAGCGTGCTAAGCTATAAGTAGGTGTGTGGATTTATTCCAACCACCCCCCCCTTTCCTATTACCTAACGGGTGATCGTAAAGTTATTCCTAAGCTCTTGAACCAACGCGCGCGCGCACACACTCACACACAAGCATCAAGCGTAGCAGTGAAGTGCAGTACACACACACAAAATCGCTTTCCGATCCTTTAAAACCCTGTATCTCCCCCGATACCTTGCTCCCCCGGTGCCTCGCCTATTATCTCCCGGGCTATCGTTTCCCGAGTTCGGCTTCTTTCCGTTCTCGTCTGCCGGCCTTACTCCAAGGGCTTCCGTTGTCGTTTCTCTTGACCGTTAGCCTCGTACCCTACGAGATTTCCGCTTTGCGTAGTATTATGTGCCTCTACAGGCACTCGTCCACTGGCCTTATACAAAGGGCTTCTGTCTTGTCGTTTCTTTCTTGTCGTGCCTCAGCGAACCAGGGAGGACTTCTGCTACCTTTCCGTGGTAGACTTTCGTCTCGATGAGGACTTATGTCGACCGCCTCTGTTGCCTGCTAACCCGAGGAATTTCCATGTCCGTGCCTCCGTGCCTGGGAGGACTTTCGTCTCGGTGAGGACTTATGTCTGCCTCTGTTGCCTTTGCCTTCTTCCCCGAGGGCTTTCCATGTCCATGCCTCCCCTCCTGGACTTGTGTCACCTAGCTAGGGTGGACTTCCGTCTCGTATCGTCATGTAGAGGACTTCCATGTCACTCTCTACCGTACACATGCCTCTATCCTTAGAGAACTTGTGGTAAGGTGAGGTAGGGGCAAGGCACAACCGCCTCCCTCTCCTCCATTCATATTCTCCCCTACTTCCCTGGTCGTAAAACCCAAGGGAAGTACACTTGCGCGATGCGATGCCTACACGGCCATCACGGACATACAAAGCCTGCACGGCTAGGGAGTTGCTCCCGGAAACTCGCACGAGGGCTCCTAACCTGTTCAGCAACTGTCTTTTCTAAGAAGTGCAGAGTGAACTCGCTTATATACAGTGAAAACAGTTGAAGTGGATATCGCATTCCACCGTATTACGGAGTTATTACATAAGCACACTCCACCGAGTCTCGAAGCATTTGGTCAGCGGTAGAGTTCTCCATTGTATTTGGCATTTTCTGCACTTCCACTTTAGGTAGTTCAATCAAAAGTCATATCTCAACAAAAAAGCTTTTAGCGTGCCAAGCTGTAAGTGGGCGTGTGACTATTCCAACAGCGAACATATCGAATTTATTGGTTTAGCTGCTTAAGCCTAGACACTGTATATAGCATTCTTGTATATTCGTATGGTCTTCTGAAAGAGTGTGGGTTGTGCTAGCTAATAATATATGGTGGTGTTGTGGATTGTCTAAGACAGTTCCACGTGACCTTCCCTCCTTGGCACCAGAACGCAGATTTCGCGACAGAATTAAAGTCTTAAGACATTCGATACAGCAGGAGAGTTGATATAGAAGAAGATGTATACCTTTTATGAATACTGTAATAGACTCTGCATCCTGTTATACTACATCTCAATATGTCCACTCTACACCACTCGCGAAGTGACGTTCTTTCACCCAATAATCAATCTATCCCCCACGCACTTGGTATTTCCCAATATAAAAAAAAGACAAAAAAAAAAGAAAGAAATCAGGAACCAATCCAAAGAACGACCAAAAACGCCTCGCTTTTACAACAAACCAAACACACATTTACGTCCTGAAACTACCATTTATATCCCCCTCAGCCCCGGAACAATAGTAATTCTAATCGGCTCCGGACCTGCAGGACTCCCTCCCTTCGCAGTAACGGTGATAGTGGCAGTAACGGTCTCCTTAACCGTTTCTTTCGCCTGCGTCACCGTAATCGTCTCCCGAATCGTGACGGTCTCCTTATTAGGCGCTAGGATAGTGGTTGGTTGCGCAGGAGGGGGAGCAATGGATGTGAACGAGGCTAGAGCAGGGACAGTGACAGTGACGACTTGAGATGGCTGGGGATTATTGATTGATGTTGGCGCAGGTTGCTGCGACGGGGCGCTTGGCGATGGGACAGCGAGAGTTGGAACACTTGTCGGCTGTGGAAGAGAGATTACGAATGTGGTTTGAAAAGCTCCAGAAGAAGAGGGCTGGACACTCGATGGGCTGGAGGGGATTTCGCCTCCCTGACTTTTAGAAGTGCTCGCTATCGACGTAACAGATGGGATAGGAAGAATGCTTCCTCCAGTCGAAGTTGGACCCGCAGCGTCGCCTAGTATCTTTTTCGCAGATTCATTGTTTGCACATCCAACGTAAACACCCTGTGTATCAGTCATGGGAAGAGCGTAACAGGAAGATCCCGTGTCACAAGGACTCAAAACAAATTTTCTGGAAGCATCACAGTTTCCAACGTTGGAGTTTACGCAGGCGATTGCCCCAGGGGTACATGGTGATGAGGCTGTAAGTGACGCAAAAATTTGGTTGAAGCCTTGTGCAGCGGCGAGGTTTTCTTTTACGTCGTCCGGGGTGAGCGAGGTAGGGGCCGGTAAGGGAAGGATCGTGGGGAGGGCTACAGGTGGTGAGGTCGTCATCTGAGAGGGCTGGGCCGATGATGTTGGGACCTGGGTTGGAGCTGGTTGTACCCCTGATGACGCACTTGCTTTCGGTATGTTACTAGGAACAATGAAAGAAAACGTAAGGATTGACGACATCTGGGGCACTGTTGATGGCTGAATCGCCGAAGATGTTGGTGTCGTTGTTGGTAGTAGAAGAACATCCGTATTAGTGAGTGTAAATCTCGATATGGAACTCGAGCTTGGAATTATTGTAGTGCTAACTTGCGGCGCTGGGTTTTCTGTGGCGACTTGAGCTGAACTGGATGATGACTCCAAAGGCTTTCCTGATGCGCTGGGTGCTTTTGAGGATAGAATTATGGTACTTGGTGCTTGACTCGTCTCTTGGGTCGTGGCCGAGACCGACGAAATCACAGATGTAGAAACACGAGTTCTAGTATCGGATTTCAGTGTCTCTTTTGAAACGGAGACCAGTGTATTTGGGTTCGTAAATTCTGGGATTGGCGAGGGGTTTTCTGGTGCCTTGGTAAGTACAGTAGAGCTGCTTGGCGAGACCTTTGTGGTTGGAATCGAGAAGTTTGAGCTGGGCTGCTCGCTGACAGAGCCATCGGCTGTGCTGGAAGGAGACGAATCTCGGGAAGTGCTTTCCAATTTGGAGCTCAAGGGAGTTTTCGTAATCGATGCTTGCTCCGAGGTCGTAGTTGGAAGCGAGGTTGGAACTGTCACTGTCGTGGCTAGACTAATTTGAGATGTCCCTTGTGTGAAATTCCCTCTTGCCGTGGATGTGACTCCATTGGCACTTGAAGAGAGACCACTCCCTGTAGGCAACGACGAGTTTGTTAGTTTGGTCGATGATCCGACCAATGTGCTTTCTTTGCTCGACGTGGAAAGTATCGATGAGCCCGTGAAAGAAGCTGACGATGAGCCCAATGATATCTTGGTAGTCGATGCAAAACTCGAAGAAGGACTTTGAGATGACAAAGAACTACTTGATACAGTCGATTGGGCGGATGTACTCGATACACTCGACGAATTCGGACTTGGAAGTGGCGATATCGTTGAAGACGCTGGAGACGGTTGTTTTTGTGAAGCTGACGTTGTAGATGACAGTTCTATCGAGGTCATCGTCGTAGGTTTGGGAGTATTAACAGGAATTATTGTAGTAATCCCACCACCGTCCAGAGCGCTTGCTTCTCCACTATTACTGCTTGATATTGCTGAAGTAGTGAAATTGCTGAAGGGAACGCTTCTTGCCAGACTATATGATTGTTGGCTAAGCTTCTATGACTCGAAAGATACAGGACTTACAAATTTCCAGCTGTATCACGCCGTAGCGGGCCAGCCGCTGCAAGGACTGAGAAGAAAAATGTCCCGGATATTATTTGAAATGACCTCATGATGAAGGTATGGTTGAACTGATATAAAAGATTATATGCGGGTATTGATCTGCAAAAAAAAATACGGCTAACGAAGGTGTGCTAAGAATAGCAGAAGCAGAAAGATGCGCAAGCGCTACTTCGAATTCAAAGAAATGTAACCAACGATGAATCAGAAAATGAAAGAATTGCTGAGAGAAAAATCTGGAGAAGAAATTGAAGCACGAAAGAACGATAACGAGCACAAAAGGAAAGAAATGATGAGATAGACTTGCAGAACCGCTACACCTATCGAGGATACGGAGACATCTTGTACCATCAGCCGACAAAGAGTCAGAGATGAGTGGCTTCTATTGGGTCTCTCTAGCAAGGCCCGAAAATAGGCTGTTGCTGCACCTTTGTGTGCCTGGTTTGTTTCCATTGTTCTGTATCGGGCGGCAGTGGAAATGAAGCCGAGGGGGCGAGACATGCGGTGGCTCCACCACCAAGTCACTTACATACATACGGTACCTGTGAGCCGTTCTGCCCTGAATATTGGGCTGTGCCCGAGGCCAATCAAAGTCATACAGTGAGTTGTGAGTCGAAACGGTTGTGTTGGCGGCTACGAGTTTGATGTTGGCGATATCCTGCAGGGTGGTGTTTTCTGGATTTGATTGGCTACCGACGTTCCTCTGCGAGGAAAAAAAAGGAGCTTCATGAACAACACACTGCACACTTATTGGGTCGCACAATTCACTGTACTTCCTTGCCAATATAATCGGTCATTCTGGCCAGTTTTTCTGCAGACGCGCGGATGTGCATGAAATCGGTCGAAGCGCGGTCTGGACGCCAGGAACGAGTCCAATCATGGTCTTTTTTCACTTCAAGAATCCGTGATTCTGCCAATATCTTGGTGACGGGGTCGCTTATCAGGTCATCGCTCATCTTCTTTCATTATTGTTGCTCAAGAACTACCGGTCGGCTCTTTGTCTTGCCTGAAGTGAATCAGCTTGAATCAATTCATTTTTATCAATGAGATTTTGATTCAGTCCTCAGGTTCATTCATGTTTACATCACGTGGCGATACTTATGTCTCCGCAGGTGGCCTCAGGAACTTTCTCATGAATTCATGTTCCTTCAGATCAAGTAATTTGCTCTTGATCGCAACTACTGCACAAAACCATTCTTTTTTCTCGCCAGCTCGGGAACAGTCTTATGATCGTTCCGAACATGGCAGCATGTATGCCCAAGTTTGGATGACAATGGGACATTCAGAGAAAAGAATACCAGCGTAATGTAAAAAATCTTGAGACCAAATGCGTCGTTCTGCAAAAATTGAATGTCCGCATATTCACAAATAAGGCAATAACTACAAGTCAAATTTTGGCACTTCCGGGTGGCTGCGGGAGATAGTCCCAGATGGAAGACTTCTGGCTGGGAGGGTTGCAAACAGAATCAGAAGTCATATCCAACTATTCGGTGTCTAAATTCGATGTTCATAACTCGGAACGCAACGACTGAGCGGCAGAAGAATTTGTGAATGACACAGTGGCTAGATGATAATTGCTAGACTGGATGCCCAAAAGTAATTATAATAGACAGAGATAAGAAGCAACCTTTGGAGAGACGTCTTCAATGAAGGGCACCAAGATGTAATACTTGGCTGCGCACCTTCCGCAAACTGAAAGCCAGTTCGAAATAACCATCCAGGCTGCGGAAATCTTGCAGTTAAGATTGTCAAATCAATGGAAGCGTTGAAGAATTTCCTTTAACATGAATAGGTCGGCTTTTGCAAAAGCCAAACGATACTTTTGACATCTTTTGAGTTGCTGCTGTCGAAGGCCAATATATCTTCGCTTTATATTGTGAAGAATACATCTTTTCATCTGCATGTATAAATCGTTGGACTCGTGTTTCGAGAAACGCATATTACGCCCAGCATACGAGGACATACCAGGTATTTAAATTTCACTTCCTTCCAAACCACTCATGATTAACATCTTGAGAGGCGTCGAGATGAATGATTGTTCCCTGTTGTTAGGTATTTCAACAGAAATAGTCGGTAGACAATACAAAATTGTGACGAACGAGGCAGGACGTGAGATTGGAGTGAGGGATTCATCAAAGTAATCGAACATTAAAGTGTTGATGAAAAATTAGCAAGGTGTCTCTATATTGATGAGGTCAAGATAAACCAAATCCTTTATAAATCGTCACCAAACTTAAGGATTAAGGAATATTTCTCTCCAAAAACCCGCTCTTCTCGTGACGCTGGGCTTCTTCATGCAGAATGTGTTGAGTTGTATGAGCGACTCGCAATAGGAATATCCAAATGCTTACTATACTATTATACTATATCCATTCTCGCAAGGAAAACTCGTACACTATTCTGCCATTATGCTAATTACGTGACGATACAAAGTATCCACTTATCTCCCCATCCTCTTTCACGACGATCCAAACTGTAAAGGGTAGAAAGAGCCATAGGAATCCGTTCTAGTATTGTCAAAATGTCGGGATCCTCTGAGCTCGTTTCCATAGATGACTCTTCATGAGTAAGGACTCGAATGCCTTCAAGACCTCCTACTTCAAACCACCAACCCAAAACGCCGAGGATGCCACAAGGATATTCCCATTCTGCTATGCATAGGAAGTCTGGGACAGAAGAACGCATATCACTTTATTTATGAGACCTTCTCCATCCTTTAATTTCGACCTATTTATTACGGTCTCAAATAAAACTTGAACGATAGCCATAAAGCTTCAGCTACACTTGGGATGAACGTAAGCACTTAACTATGTTCATACTATAAATAACTAAACATGATACCAAAATGATCCTAAATTTTGTTGTTAGTAGGTCTGACTAGTGTCCACCGCGTGGAAGCAGGGGATAGGACCGAATGGAAGCTGGTTCTGTATTTCTAACAAGTACGAGAAGCTTAAGCTAGGGCTATATAACCGTGACTCCTACCAAAAGTAGTTTGCTTTGCAGTCATCTGAATACAACTTTATTCAAGTCAATATCCTGGCACTCTTGGCATTCCACAACCCATCAACAAAATTTAACTTTATTACTTACTAGGTGCGTAGGATCACGTAGTTTGCCTTAAACGCAATTAGTTTATGGCCATCAGAGAAAAACCTAGAAATTAACATTCAAATGCTAGATGAGAAGAAAAACCGCAGCACGAAAAGATATTCTAACAGTAACACATAGTACACCATCTCTGCAGAACCCTCACCATTCCCTTTCCTCTTCAGACCAAAGGGCAATCATCTACTATCAAAAACATTGGTACCATTGAATTGGTCTTTCCATTTCGGTGGCTCCCAATAGAATAAAAAAAAACTAGATACAAGGATATAGTCGGAGCCGGATATGGTAAGGATATAAGCGAGGATATCCTTATAGCGGGGATCCTTGTAATGAGCTTTTTCTGTAACTCCACAATCCAATGATGTCCCCTACAGTAACAAAAGACTAAAATTAAGATTAGCCTTTATCTGACGTGAAGTAAATGTACAGACTCTTTTCAACACACCGAAGAAGGCCTTCGGAGAATTACTTGATTCATATATAACTAGTGGTTCGATCCTATTTAGAAAGTGATAGCTCAAACTCCTAAACCTCGCTTTTTCTCTTTCTTCGCAAATTGGAAACACATCGTTAGTCACCAACATTCGGACTGAACATTTCAATATGCAAATCGCAGCCATTCTCACAACCATGGGCTACTTAGCCACGACGGCATCGGCAGCAACAATCTATACCAACGCCGGATGGAGCTTCCCCCCAGGAGGCGCCGCTGAGGCATGCACTAAGTCGGTCTACTGTGTACGTACCACCATTTCTACTAAAAAAGAACTGTCAACGTTTTGCCACTTCTAGACATCATTCTACTCCTCCTGTTTAGGAAAAACAAAAAAAGACAAAAAGTACTAATCAAGTTTATATACTTATAGGGCAACACGATTCAATCCGCATCAGGAGGTCCATTCCAAACCCCCCGGACCGACTGCGATTTAATCGCTGCTGCTGGTGCGCCAACGGGCTATTTTAACTGCAGACCTGATAAGAACTTTCCAAACGGTGTAAGTGTCCATGTCAGCCCCTTCTTCTCTACCTTACTAATAGAACTTTGAACCTAGAAAATTTATTGCTGTACCTAGCTTGTCTTCTATGGTTAAATAGACTACGTTGCAGGTTTTTAAGAGATTGAGAGGATCTTGGTTAAAGTGGTCCCGCTTATAAGAAAGGGTTTTTACTTCTCGGAATTTTCAAACAGAGATTGGAAGTTTAGGGCCTGTTTGGGTACCATTTATGTTCTCTCTCTCTCTATATATATGTGTGTGTGTATAGCTATAAACAAAAAACTTCATACTTTTCCATAACCGGGCCTAAGGACCCGTGTATATGTCTCTCAACATACAAATTTTAGACTAAACTTTACAAAGAATTACCCTCCTATCTAGATATTTACAATATTTTATCCCCGCTATTATCCGTCGTTTCCATAGGAACTTTCTCAACTAGGTAGTTCTATCGGATTCGCATAAATACTCTCTCATCTACCATCCAACAATACCTCTCCCCACTCTCGCCCATCACATATCCAAAACAAGAACCAGCTCAAAAAAAGCCGTCAGCATAGACTAAGTAAATATCAAACTCCTCATTACCAGCCCCCCGTAAAAAACTTTGAAGAAGTAACAACACATCCAGAGCCAAAAACCCCCCACGCTCCCGACCCAATCCCAAACAAACAAACAAACAACCAACAGAACCCAAGATCCAAACCTCTTGATACCCAAACTCGGCTTCAAGTCCACACCTTCTCTCTCCCTCACTCCCCACTTAATCCCAAAACCAGGATATTATACACACCTACACCTACCTATCTACAGCTCCATCAAAACAAAACAAATCAAATCAAATCAAGGATCAACATACAGTCCAATTCAGTCCAATCCACTCTAGTACATACAGTACAACCCAGCCCTACCATCACAAGAACTCATCACAAAAAAAAGAATCCAAATTCCCAACAGAAACCGTCGAGGTTCGAGCATGAGGATACGTAGGATGTATACATACAGTAGGTACCATACAGTAAGAACTTACAGTACCATAACATTCCATACCTCAAAAGGGAAATAAAAATAAAGGAACAACCTAGGAACTGTCGTTTTAGAAGTACGGTACAGTAGCCGGAAGTAGTATTAAGTCAGTCAGCTAGTCAGCTTCTTTCTTTCATTCATTCCCCTTTTGCTACACTGCGGTCCGCTACGCGAACCATAAGAGCCACTACCTTAATAAAAGTAAAAAGTAAAAGTAAAAACTCCAAATCCTCAACTCCTTCCTTCCTTCCTTCCTTCCTTCCTTCCTTCCTTCCCTCTTTTCCTCAATCCCAACCAACCCACCCCCCCAAAAAACACAGGTAAAACAAAATCACAAAAAAAAGCAACCAAAACAAATCAAAAAAAAATCCAATCATCTTTCAATCAGAAAGAAATTGATTCTACTAACTACAATTACTAACGAACCCACTAAGATCACCAAAAACACCGACATTCCATCACTCTCACAAGGTAGATGATATCCCGCACGCTACTGCTACGGGGAGAACCCGTTTCGGCGCTTCCTGGTTTGCAATTGATGGATTAGATGATAATTTGATAGTACGCCAAATAGATGATAGAAGGACTTGGTGAGGGGGAGGAAAGGGTGTTGTTTGGAAATTGGAAGAAAATGTGATGTGAGTGCCATTGTATCAAGTGTCCAGTGTCCCAAGGGATGTTTGTAAACCGCTTGTTTCTAATACATACACCTTCTACATCTGAGGTTCACACTGCTACTGGAGAAATTACACTGTCGACGTGTAGTTTCTCCATATGAGAAAGCTGGAGAGTAAATAGGAAGCAAGGTAGAAACACACGAACCCCCCATGTAGTCAAAATGTGAAGGAAACATGTGATGATATCAAAAACCGTATCGTTCTGAAATGATAACATCGCACCTACTTATTGCACCTACTTAAAATCAGTCCCAGAACGCCAATACCCATCATGTCTCATAGCCATCCAACTCCCTTTATATGAACACTATCATTGTTCTTTCCCCCGTATCCCAATATTCCCATACCTGTACAAGCATAGAACCTCAAGGATCCTCATGGCCATCCCCAACAAGCCTTACGCCCCCCGGAGTGCCCACCGCGCTCGCTCTATCCTGAGCTGCCTCCCTCCGAATCGTCTTCCTCCTCTCCACTTCCGCAACCAAGCCCTTGAAGTAAACCTCTGCCTGAACCGTAGCACTATACGCAACCGGCGTCCAACTCCAAACATTCCTCCTCTCCGAATCCGCCCCCGCCGCCAGCAAAGTCCGCAGCACAAGTAAATGTCCATTGGAGCTCGCAAAATGCAGCGCCGTATTTCCATCCACATCTGCATTTTTCAGTAGGCTTGCCGGGTCAAACGACGGCGCGCTGGACGAGGAAGGCGCGAACGTGAGGAGGATTTGTAAACAGGTATCATGTCCACACCGCGAGGCTTCCATCATCGCGTCCCTGCCCCGCGAATCGCGTTTGGGTATGCTCTCTGGATTAGCGGTGCAAAGGAGGTGGACTACGTCCGTGTGACCTGCTGCACTGGCTAGCATGAGGGGGGTTTGGTGGTCTTCATTTAGGGAGATGCCACCGGATTCGTGGCCGAGGGAGAGGAGTACCTCGACTATGGGGAGGTGGCCTAGTTTTGAGGCGAGATGGAGGGAAGTGTTGGAGAGGCCAGGAGGCTCGATTGTGGTACTATCTGGGTTGTGGAGGAGGGAGGGGTGCGATTTGAGGATGCGGGACACGAGAAGTGCGTCTGCAGCGTGGATGGCCCGACGAAGACGTATGGAGGGGTCAATCCTGTGAAGACGTCAGTGGGGACAAGGGGGGAATAGCAATGCCATATGTAGAGGAAGCGAGGAAGGAAAGGATGAAGCTATTCGGAGAATCTGATCATGTTTACTTACATCGTGCCAGCATATCAAGGGCGAAACAAGCCCCAGTTGGTGTAGGTCCACCCAATGTCTCTCTCTCTGCGGCAACTCAAGTACCGGTAGTTGAAATAGAAGTCTGTCTAGTGATGTCAATAATTTCCCGTTTCAGCCGCTTGTTTGTTGTTTGTGCTGCACTGTCACGGTAGTAGTACCGTACGGAGAGGATTTCCAATCTTGTGCTTCCGTTTCGATTGATTGTCTTCGGGAGGAGATCTCGATAGCGTGGCGCGGAATGGACATGGGGTATGTCATAGATCATTGGTAGAAGATTCCATGGGGCTGTTGTGGACCGAAAATTGATTCCGACCAAACCCACGTCCCAAACGTCTGATGTTGCAACAGGCCAGTGAAGCGGGTCCGAAAAAGAACGTTGCAGATTCATCGGGGTGGAAGAGCGATAGGGGTTCGCGGGCGCTGTGACCATGTCAACCAGAATAGGTTGATTAGCCGAGCAAATCAAGGATTGGAAGTTTAACGTCTGAACCCCCGTTTGAGCATTGTTTTGGCATCGTCTTGTCTACCAATGTGGTCTCAAAGGCATGGGATAGCACTACCAACTACTTCGTCCCAGGCATAAGCATAATAAATGTTAAAATTTAGTGGCGTGACATGGGATTTTTCAATGGAAAACCAGGTAAGAAAGAATTTCACTAAGTTGTAACATTTGTTATGCCTAGGGTGAAGTACTGTAACCTCCCTAATGGCCATTTATAGAAAATGACTCGCCAAAAGGGCAAACTTCAATGTCAAGCAGCAGAGGAACTTCAAATCGATCTATGACATTATATTTCAGATCAATATTTACAGACAGACAATATTCGATACATAACCCCCTAACAAGAAAAAATAAAATAGAAAAAATATAAAAATATAAAAAATGCAATCGCATTGGTGCTGCTCTGTCAGCTGAATCTAAACTGTAAACCCGAACATTACCAGGCTGCAGACTACACCTCTCTGAAAATGAATTAAACCCCACTAGCCTGAAGCATGTATTCCCCTCTAAATGGTATCCCTCGTATCTTGACATGAAGCGAACTTTGAAATCTTTTTTATGCGATGAATTCTCGAACAGCTCTTCTTCTTCCGGCTGGGTTTCCAAATCCTCCAAATGCCTTTGCTTTGTTCTCCTTCTTGTCTTTGTCCTCCTTTTTGTCTTTGTCTTTGTCGTCCTTTTTGTCGTCGTTGTTTTTTGGGGGAGGAGTACCAGCTTTTGCTGGAGGAGCAGGTGTACCCGCCTTAGCAGGAGCGGGAGTACCAGCTTTTGCAGGAGGTGTACCAGCTTTTGCAGCACCTCCACCGCCAGCAGCACCACCACCACCGCCGCCACCTCCTCCACCGCCAATGGTGAACTTGGTGCAATCATCTGGGGTACCACGTTGGGCAACTGGCATAAGAACTGGCTGATGGTTGGCTGCTGAGGTCATGGTACAGACACGGTAGTTTCCTGCTGGAAGACCACCCGTGACGGTAGCTTTGAGACCACCCTTTCCGTCACCAGCGTCATTGATACCCTTGAAGAAAGCGAATTGAGTTGCATCCAGAGGCTTGCCTGGGTTCAAAGAGTTTCCCAGATCTTGGACGGTAACGTGAGTGTGTCCGACAACCTTGCCACCTTGCAATTGCTGTGGAGCGGAGTAGTATGTTGCCTTGGGGTTGGTAAAGGATCCGGCTACCAAGTTGTTGATTTGGACGGTGATATCGAAGTCCTTGTTTGGCTCGGGTGCCTTGCCACCAGTCTCAGGAAATGTAATCATGCCAGAAACCATAGAGGCCTTAGCTGGGATGTCACCCATGACTATTCCTGATTAGATGTTTTCAACAGATTGGAATGATGGGTGTGACTTACCGATACCGTTACATGAACCGCCTTCGACTTGGAGACCGTTTGTTAATGTCTTACCAGCACAATGGTTGATGAAGTTATTCGTTGAAGTAAGCGATTTCGCTTGACCTGGCTCCGATTGCCCATCTTTACTTCCATCAGTCGCAGAAGCGCTTTGAACGACTTTAGCATCGAGTGTTAGATCACCACCTCCAGCGGCTTTGCCCTTGTCAGCGTCCTTGTTGTCATCAGCCTTCTTGTCGTTGTTTCCTCCGCCTCCACCACCACCACCCCCCTTGGGAGGTTGGCCATTCTTGTTTCCTTGAGCTGATACCGCCGTGGCGAAGAGCGCCGCAATCAAAACTTTCTGGAGCTGCATGTTGAGAGATAATATATAGAGTATAGGCGTAGACTAAATGAGTGTTATATCCGTCGAGGTGTATAAGTGGAATAAAAATTAGATGCTCGGTCAACGAGATCTCTTGACTGGCAAGATGCGTGAGGGAATGTAAGAGCGAGGAGGGGCCCGCCAAAAAGGAACTGCACTGCCGGGGGGGGGGAATATGTGCTTGAGAGCGTGAGTTGAGGAAGCAGAAAAAAGGGAAAAGGAGCGATATTTGAGATACTTATCCCCATGGCTTGGCAACGGGGGCATGTTCGTGAGAGCAGTGGAGCACTGAGAACAGCGTGGGGCGGGCCTGCAGGGGGCTACAGGGTGCGACAGGGGGCGACAGGGTGGCAGGCCCGAAAAGGACCAAGGGTACCTGAGTACAGGTGGTGTCGAGGTGGTGTACAGGCGACAAGCCCTGTAATTTACAGGCACTTGACTTGCAGATGAGCTCCCGAGGTCCACCTGCGCAGGCGGGTGAGTTCAGTGAGTTCAAAGTTGAGGCTCACTGTAGCCCGAACCACGCTCAGGCCAGGCTCAGGGAGTCGGGACCCGCCTTTCTGCTGCGACCGGGCCACCAAAGGGTCGAAGGGTCTTCCCCTTGGCTCCGTTGCACAAATGTGGCTTTGGAGATCCCGAAGAGAAGGGCAACACTCCCACTCCATACGGAGTAATGCTCTCTTGAAACTAGACGTGAGGTGCAAAACGTCGCAGTCGTACAGGCCTGGGGGGCACATTCTGTCACTGCCTGCCACTGCCAGAGGGCGCATCACCTACCGGCGAAGTCTACTTCGACCTAGTTCCAGGCACATTATCCACGCTAAGTGTTCTAGGGTATTTCCAGTGGACGACCGCGCGAGAACCACCGTCAAAACGTGCCATTGTTATGCCTGAACGTAGCTGCCATCCGAAATGTACGGGTCCTGAGCACGCTGTAGGCTGTAGCGCGCCGCTGGCAGCTGCCATCCAAAGGTAGAGATGAAGATGGAGACGGGTCTGTGCTGCAGACACCTGCTGTCTGTCTGATGTCTGAACTCAACTTTGCAACTCGGAAGGGAAATGAGATTTCGGTGGGTTCAGGGAAGAGGGGGATACAAAGTTGCTTCAAAGTAATCAGCCAGACACTAACAAATGGCACCCGATGCCCACGCGCAGAGCGTCAATGAAAAAAAACTACTGTATGATACACCTACCTATTTCATAGTGGCTTCATAGTCGGCTCGCCTCGCTCGGGCGCGAGGGAAGGGGGGAAGGGGGGAAGGGGGGAAGGTTTAAGTTCACATTTCACCTTTCACCTTTCACCTTTCACATTTCACATTTCACAGTTGATCCGAACTCTCACGAATCCTCGATAATTTGTCTCTTACTATTATAGTAACACTATGTGATTGGATCAATCCTGATTCTCCACAAGCACGCCTAAATAAAGAAGAGCTGGACCATCTGGAGTCAGAGTACAGTAACATCAATGCACCATCCACTAATAAGCTGTTACCAACGGTTTTGTAGGCTGGTCTCGTTTCACAAATCCCTGCCCTCGTCTACCGGTATCCATTCCGATAAAGAAAGAATCGAAAATCCGACGACTGAAGTTGGTGATATCATATCAACCAGAGTCCCTGGGCTACCCAATCTCAAGCACGTTAATTCACAGCTGTTTCTATGGTATTGGTGTCATTGCTCATGCTAGTCTCCTTCAAAGTAAGCTGCGCACGTACTACTGATGATTGGCATAGCCGAATCCGGTAGAAGTAGAAGTTACTTTAAGTCCAGACGTGCGTAGCGCGAGTAACCTTACTTAGGTACAAGGAAGTATAATCTGTAGTGAAAAGTACGGACGCGCAGCGCCAACCTCTCCAATCTCCCTATCTTCCCTAAGAATTGCTTACCTCCGTCTTTCCAAGCTTTGCCGATCGAAACCAGACGACGTTTTAAGGTACAGGCCCGTTGATAAGGTTAAATAAGAAGCCCAGGACCGAGAAGATATAACTTAAAATCCAGCCACGTGATTATTAGCCACATTGGATCCATCCATGTAGTCCAGATAATGTAGCGTATTCATCCGTATCCAGTATCGCGAACCAATATTTAATGATTGAACGTCAACCAGACCCAGTCCTGCTGCTTCCCAAGGTTGTGTAAATATGGTACTCACGCGTGACTGCCGAGGTCGCGGGGAAATGCTTGCTCTATGACTTGCTGAGTTCAGTTGGCTTCTGGAATCTCGATTCAAGCAATTTCACATAGCCAAGCCACCAAAGTTATACCTCTCATGCAATTGTTAGCAGCTACAAGATAGCCATCTCATTTTCTCACCACATCCGTTTCCCTGTGTGGTTTGCTCATGCATCGTGTTCGTTCAAAAAAAAGTTTCGCTTAACCTTAAGGGTAACGGGTTAGGTTCGCTCCCCCCCATTATTGTTTGCTGGTTAGTAGTGGCTTAGCAGTTATTTTAAGGCGAAATTTACCTGCTTCGTACTAGTGCATAGATGGTAACCTGAGGAGCCGGTTTGTAAGTATACATACCATCCATCCCAACTTCCATTCCCATGACCTCCAAACACCACCACCACCAACCCAACTCCAGAATTCCCCAACTCAAAAAAAAACAATCATGTCTCAAAACACGACCCACACAAAACGTGTCTACCCCCTCGTCTGCCATGCTAGTAGCCTTATAAATCCAGAGATCAGATCGTTCTTTGCGGAGTTTTACAGAATTTCCGATACTCCATCCGCGCACGTTCTATATGCGGATCAGTTTACGCAAGACGCCATCCTCATCATGGGATCTAAGAAATCGGTTGGCAGAAGTGGTTAGTTCATTGTTTCCTCAGTATCAAGTTGTTTCATTGTGTGGTCCCTTCTTTCCCTTGGTTGCAATTCTCCAAGCCGGGATTTGCTGCGCCGCAAAAGATGCTAACATCGGAGGAGTTGCTACTGTAGTAGGTCGGGCTCGATTCCTGATAACAGGCTCTTGTTCTCCCCTCGATACAAGTAGGGAAGACTGACAGATTCTGTCGTCACCCAAGGCTGAAACTAATACGGTATCGGTCTTTTTCCTTATCAGTACCGAATTGATATTCGATCCTATGCTTGAGTGTGGTCCTTGCCGCTGTAAATCTCTGCATAGGCAATAATCAGATGAAACATTGTTACAGTATCGAAGCGAATACGTTCCCCTCCCTTAAACAAAAGGTTATTTTTCTCGTGGCAGCACATGTAAAAAATATCCTTTTGAACCAGGGGAGGGGGGTTATGAACAAGTCCATGTCGGTCCTGTTGCAGGCAATGGCTGTGAATTTGATGATAACAGCCTCGTCGCTCTTCCTGTCTCCCTAGGGCTACAGTATCTTGGCTCGCTGTGAGAGAAGCTGCAAAGATCAGCAAATACGAAGCTCTACAAGCACGACAACCTTCCTTTCCTATCAAGCCATCACACTTGAACTCTCGGGTATAAAAGAGACCCCGAAAATAAATGACGGAGCGAAAACCCGTTAGATCAGACCTTCCCTTCCACCATTCAAGATGCCAAAAACTCTTACTTTTCGTAAATCCATCGGATCACTTTCCGCCAAGGATTCCCACATCCTTCCTTTTCCTTTTCCCTCTACATCAAATGTGACGAGGCTCTGACAATCAAGATACAGAAATCCTTGCCTTTCGTAAATCCATGTGGGATAAGGTCCAGTCTCGATCCCACACCCCGGAAAAGATTTTTCCCTTCGGAAACCAGGAAATTGATGAGGTGATGATATATGGGGTTGTGAAATATGAGTTGAAAGATGGGGGTTTGCCTGAGGTACGTAGCGGTTCGGTGTTGTTCTGTTCGTCCTTTAAGTCTCGTATTCTTTTTTTCGTGTGAAGAAACCTTAATCAGAGGCTCTGCTGGATTTCTGTTTCGACTCGAAATATATCCGTGCGTTGATGAGATGAGAGACTCATTACTCGGTACCTACTGGTAGAAAATTACAAATGCGATTCGTGGGTAACTAGTGTTTGGAAATAGAAAGCTAATTTATACTATTTTTTCTCTAGGTCGATTGGGCTGCTCGTGCAAACCTGGTGAAGGAAGATGAGACATGGAGAATGAGTTTTTATCAGGTTTACCTTGGTAGGTTGATGATCACACCTATTCTTAACCTTGCGAGGCTGATAATTTGAAGATACAGCTGCAATGCAGAATCCAAGTGGAAAGTGAAATTCATTAGAATAACATGACGTGGTTGTTCGTCTGCTTTTAAGGAATCCGACAATTGTAGCGATCAGATGTGTCACAAGGAAATAACTGAGAAGCCTTTTCTGCAAGAATCAATTTGTCGACATTACCCCCAACGCCCTTTTTACAATTCCAGAAACGCCGTTTGGCTAACAGCCCTCAGTCAAGACATTCACACAACCCCATCTGCAACCCCTCAATCCATCTCCATAGCATCTTCTTCCTCTACCCCTCCATACACAAGTGTCTTCCGTCTAACCTTCATCTTTCCAAAGACCTTTGGTAGTTCCCTAACACCTTCCAACTCCTCGCCTTCCGCAACCAATCCTTCTTCCTCGAGTCTCTTTCTTTCACTTCCGCGGACCTTGGGTAGCAAGTGACTCTGCTCAGCCACCAACTTTCTATCCAACTCCCTTTGCCTCTCCTTATTTCTCGCCATTCTCTTCTTGTAGAATACACGCTGTCGCTTCTGTTTGACCTCCTCGAATCGTGCCATGGCCTTCTCGGTGACCGCGATTTGATCACGGTCGTATCGGATGGGGATGTTTCGTTTGGCAGCGAACGCAAGGGTACCATCGACGACCATTTCTTTTCCGGTTGCCTTTCTGAAGGCTTTCGTCCAGGCGAGTTTGCGGGGATTACGCTTCATTTTGAACTGAGAGTCTCATGTTAGTCGTTTGGCCCTCCTCTCGTAAGAAGGAAGACAAACATTCTTATGACATTTACTCCTGCAGAAGCGGAATAGGCGCGCATCATTGCGGACGAAAGTGATGCCTTTGCTGGGATAGCAGGGCCGCGAACAGAAGTAACAAGTCTCGATCCTAGAATCGCGGTGTGGTTAGAATAGGGTCTTTCTATGAAATAAATGCACATGAACTCGTAAGCGCGTAATACATACCTCATCTTGACTCTCCGGTTCTGCGATGCGATATGTGGAGGTTGTTCTGGAAAAAGCTAGAGCTCCCCTCTGAAATCTTTATCTCAAAGTAATTTTTGCAGCGCCCCCAATCTTTAGTGGGGATCGTCTAGTATCGGAAGAACTATTAATCCGGAAGTGGCGACCAATCATAAGACGTGCCGGTTCCCACGCCGAAAAGGCTCAGTCTCTGTCCATTTTTCAAATGCTTCAATGACAACTTTGCGACTTCCATTAATCCAGGCCAAAGCAATAATCTAAGACATATGAAACCCGGGGTACCTCGAGAATATACAATATAAGAAAATCAAAATGGCATCAATAATGGTCTGGGGAGCTGGCATTGCCACAGCAGCCTTCTTGGTACGTTCCACCCATCCGCCCATGATTTCACACAATATTCCTCCCAAAAGACTTTGCAGATATACTAACATCAAATACAGGGACGCGCAGGACTCGTAGCACTCCGCCGGTCACGAGGAGAACCCATGGGCGCCTTGGGGAAAGCCTTCTACAAAGGTGGATTCGAGCCCAAGATGAACAAGCGGGAGGCATCCCTCATCCTCCAACTCTCGTACGTCCCTTCCATCTCCCTACCAACTCCACGAACACGATCTGCCAGTTTACGGGAACGCACTAACCCATTCCAGGGAGCGCCAACTCACCAAAGAGCGAATCCGAAAGAACCACCGCACCCTGATGATGCTGAACCACCCGGATCGCGGGGGATCCCCTTACCTCGCCACGAAAGTCAACGAGGCAAAGGAGTTTCTGGAGAAGAACGGTTGATGGATGGTTGATTCGTGAAACGGGATTTGGCAGGGCATAGGGCATGGCCGTAATTTTCTTCATCTTTGAACTTGCCTTCTCGGAGAAAAGGGTTAGAGGATGTTAGAACCCGCGGGCGTTACCCTTGCACCAACTACCGAAGAATCGAATTTTTGATTTTGGAAATCTGTTGCAAGATTAATGAGGAGGAGTTGGTGTATACTATTTGATTTTTGTCCTTGAGAGGATAGGTAAGGCATAGCGAAGGCGTTCACATGGGTTGGGGGGTTTTTTTTGGTCAACCAAATAAAGAGAGCTAAGACAACCAGCTACATTTACACGGGGTTGAGGAACATGGGAACATGATTGGGGAATGTATCATAACTTATACTGTACAAAACCACCCCACAAGTCAAGAAGGAATGAATCTCTTCTCATCACATCACACATGCACTACACTTGCCCAAGCGAGCAGGAAAATCCGGGGTAGAGTGTTCGTCCGTTCGCAAGAAGATCTCATCCCTACCAGTACTCTATCCCATGTACTCCACGAAATCTCCAAATCCCTTCTATCTTTTCATGTAACTATCAACCTAAGGCCCCTACTCTACGCCAACCCAATCCAGGGTAAAACATTCATACACCCCTACCAACTCGTAAAACCCGCCAAAACCATAAAATCCCCGTCCATTACACAAAACTAGATACGAGAATTCCTCTACAAGTAAATTAAGCAAACCAGGTTCCTGGGTTCCAGAACAAGATTTTGGGATAAATGTGTAATTTCTTTTAGTCTTTCTCATGTAACTATATACTACACCTCTAAGGCTCTTATCAAGGCCCTAAATTGAGGTAGAAAGTTCTGTTAGAGTATGTTACTTATTCCTCATTCCTTATATTTGATTTATATTTCTAGTTTTCGCTTATTATACTTCTGTTCTAGGTAGTACTATACGTAAAGGGTAGAGAAGGATACTTTGGTTAGTAAACGAATACCTAACTTATAAGTTCTTAATTTCTTGTAAGGCTAAGGTAAGCTTTATATCATCGTCAGGTATATACTTCGTAAAGTAAAATTACAAAGGAAGCAAGATTTATAAATTACTCGACACCTTCAATAACCTAATCTCTTTCATCTTTCCCATAAAATATCAACTCCCTAACTTTAAGGAGAAGAAACCTCTATACCACTTTTTCTCTTTATCCCGTTCACATATACCTTCTACCTTCTACTTAAATCCTTTCCTTAAGAGCAAGAGAGAGAAAGAGATAACCTCTAAAAACCCTACCTCCCATCTTCCATCCTTCTATTCCAAACTTCATATCAGATTCAGGACCCTATAAATGATAATAGAGCAAATTGAACAAGCATGCAAGCAGGGAAGTAAGATTTACTCGCTACCTACAGTAACCTAATATCTTTTATCTTTCCAAATTCCTATGGAAATATCAAGTCCCTAACTTCATGGAGAAGAAAACTCTGGAGTGCTTTCTCTCTTTAGGCTATGCATGTATACCCTCGAGTTCTGGGATAAGGGGGCTGATATGGTCTCGAGGGTAGATTGGATAATTTGGTTGAGCTTCTCATGTCTCATATCTTATTCTTACTTTGTAAATTTTATAAGCATGACTTGCTTACTTGCTTACTTCCTTACCCCAGAACAACAACCCCCAATTCCACATCACAAAAGAATGACCTCAAAATCTAAAGTTAAATGCTTACGACTTCTCATCTACGATGAAACCCCTTCATCATATCTCAAATATCACAAGTTAATTTCACCAATCACAAGGGAAAACCAGAAATGTCAAAACGTCTTTATGTTCTCTAATTACAGACAGACGTTTCGATAGCTTAGTGTAGTGCCATCATGCTCTCAGGATCTAGCACCAAATTTCATTTCTGATAGCTTAGTAGTGCCTATCGTGTCCTCAGGGACTAGCACCAAATTCAATTCATTTCATTCCATCCATTTTTGTATTCCATCATTCGTTGCATCGTTTCGCAATGTCAATTTCTCCTCCCATATGCACCATTAACTCCTCCGATTTCATCGCTCAAAAGAAAAAGAAAGGAAAGGAAAAAGGAAAAAGGGGAAGAGAAGGTTCAACCTTGAAGACGTCCATGGCAGTTCAGATTCCGAGGAAGCGCGAGGAAGACGAGTCGAATTTAGGACTTTGCCCAAGTTTAACATAGATGAAAGTGTGTCGACTGTTTGTAAACTCCTTGCCCCTGAACGAGAACAAACTCGTGAAAACCATCGCAGATGCAGCCGAAAAAGTGAGGTGCTCCAGTAACAAATGCAAACCCTATCGCAATGCCCCAGATGTAACAAATTTAAATGCCCACTGAAAACGACACCAAAAGCCCAACTAGCGGAAAGTAGAGCATGAAAAAACTCCAACGCCAAAAAAGGAGTGCTGCGCAGAAATTCGAGTTTGCCAAGTTACAATTCGTCTTCCCATGCCATAGTACGGTTCTTCTTCTTCTTCTGCAAACCATCTAAAACATAGGGGCCGCCAGGTCCTCCAGCGGGATCGTACCAGCCCGAACTCGCCTCAGGATTGGTAACTTCCTCACCAAGAGAAGTATTTCCACTAAGCCATTCGCTAACTCGGTCCGTCTTATTTTGAACCGTACTGAGATTTGCCATGTCATTGGCAAGTTGCTCATCGACCGCTGGTTCCTCTTCCCATGCTGTCGTTTGACGCTGCTTTTGTTCTTTCAAGAGATTGGTAAGTTGGTGGAGATTGCCTGGAGTGGTTCCAACTGTAGGGTCAGCCTCCTGTATGAAATCCCGAGTCTCCTCAACAACCTCATTCATTGGGTATCCCATATCCGCGGGAGCGGGAGCAGAATAAACAGCCTCATCATCGCTCTCATCCTCCCAGGCGGTCGACTTCTTTTGAACTTTCGAATGTGGCCGGGCATTTGTGTCATCTCCAATGTTCATCTCTTCACCACCGAGTCCAGCCAGGGGAACTTGACTACTCGGATGATCCCAAGAAGGCGCGAAAGGTTCGGAAGGCCAGTTCAAGTATTTGTCTCTCTTTGCAATCGGTATCTCGTAAGGCTTGACGGGGTTGCCGCCATCACTGCCTTCGTCTCCCGAAGATACGCCTTCCTCCCGCTCCTCAGCCTCTGCTCTCGCATTGGTCACAGTCCTGTTCATATCAGTTAGCAAAAGCTCCAGTCTTTTTCCATTCGCGCCTTGAGATTAGAAGGTAACATACTCTTCATTTTGCAGCTTCGCTGCCAACTCTTGCTCCTTTCTCTTCTCCTTTGCTTTCGCTTTGTCCGTAAGATCACGAATAGCAAGTGAGATCATGGCTTGCAAAGTGTAAACGGCATCGTTGCCGCCATTATGTGCACTCCAGCCCGCCAAGTCTAGCTCAGCGAGTACAGTTACAAGCTTTCTAGTGTCGGGTCGGCGTGTCAAAAATTGATGCATCTGAGCTGTGTCAATATGTTCTATAATGTTGCTTACGTCAAATATATCAAATCCCAATTTCTTTAAGAATTTGATATCAGACGCCGTGTTATGCCCCACAAAAACAACGTTACGTTGGGCCAGATTATTGACATCTGGAGTTCTTTTGGCACCGGGGATTGGTTTGGCGAAAGGTTCTATAAAGGAGCTTGCAATGTATGCTGTAGACGCACTTTTCGGGATAATCTCAGTTGTTCTGAAGATTGTCTCAATGAGCACACATCCAATTGAAACAGGAGAAAAGAAGTACTTACCCAAACAGGAAACTATCCGGACAGCCACTTATGTGCTTCCGGTTAACGTACGTATGACTAGCATACTCTTGTATGCGGAAGTGACGTGCTCGTATGATTTTGTGCCAATTGGTGCCATTTGGCCCCGGTGGTACTGTAGCCAGGTCTCTCGTATCGAGAGAAGAGACTCCTATCTCCGTGATAATATCATTATTATCTTCCCAGGCCTCGATGTCAATACAGACAAACACGACGTCAAAGTCCATATCCGCCGGAGCAAGACTATCTGCCGAGAATTCTGGATCCTTCATCGTAGCAGGAACCCAGTCAGCCCTTTCCTCAACTTTGGCCCGCAGGCCGATATAACGCTGGACACGCTTAACGCTTCTGCCCCAGGAAGACTTTAGTTCAACACGTTTCTTCTTCGCCACGGCCTTACTAGCAGCGGCTTTCGCCTTTTGTGTTGCCAACATTGTGTCAAGCATTGATTGGAAAGCCTCAAGAGACTCTTTGGTTGGCGTCGGTGTTGCTGGTTCGCCAGGCTTCTGGTAGGTTCTAGGGTAGATACTGTAGGATTTGAGATCCTCAAACTCGGAGTGATCACCCGCCTTTCCAAGATATCGTGGGCAGGGCGTGCTGCTGTCCTCGAAATATGCGCGGTACGCTTCAACAGCGTCCCCGGCCGGCAACGATAGCCTGGATTTGTAACCGAGAGCATTGATTGTCTGGAGATAGTGCTCAAATTGACTAGCCAGAACTAGGATGAGGGGTGAGGAAGGGTTTGGTGATTTCAACTTATGAAGGTAGAAGCTGGATGATGAAGTTAGTGACTATTATCAACATGGAGCTGAAGATTAAGCGCGCTACTCACAAACTCCATGGGTAATTAAAGATCTTTTCGTTGCTGAAATGATTTATGGCAACCTGTTAGCGTTAGCAGAAATGCCGATGAGAAGTGAGAAATTGTATGAGAATGGTGAGGGTGTGCTGCGACTCGCACGAATAAAAACGTATCTACGAAGTCGAGTTGTAGAGTCGAAGCTCCCACACGTATGCGGTGAATATGGTCAAGATACCATCCACCACCACCGGATGGTGCTGAAGATGGCTGTGATTGAACTTTGTAGAGGGCAAATAGATCACTCACTTTTTGTTGATACCTCTTCCCTACATGATACCATGGGAATTCCTTGACGAGTTGGAAGAGCGTAAACTCCTCGCCGAGAGGAGCCAGCTCGCCAGTCTCAAATGAGACATATTGCTGGAGTTCAGCAAGATTAGTTCCTAGCAAGCGGGTGAGTAGGATGATTCTGCGAAGTACCAGTATGATAAGGCGTGGCATACCGTCCTCCCCTCTTGCGGCTACTCTCGCAATATGGAATTCTCGAATCTGTTCCAATCTGTATTGTCTGGGCGAAACATGAATAGAGTCGTCATCCGACCACTCAAGCTCCTGGTATTCGCGTGGATCATTCGGCAGAGGGATGTACCCCTTACCGCGGTTTTCACCCATTATTGGCTGCTAGACAGTTAATATTTCTCGTGCTTGTGTAGATTTAAAGCAAAGCAGAAGAAGGTTGGTGCGAAGATTGAGGGCGATAAGCAAGAAATTGATATGTGGCAGGATAGTGGGAGAGGGAAATATCAGGCGGAGAGACCTAGTCCCCCTCCCTGGAAAAACTCCCGCTCCGAGTTCTCGCTGCCTCGCTTGTAGGGCAACGAGCCCCAGAGCGTCGGCCACAACAGTGTTGTTTCTCCCAGCGACATAGTCCACATGAAAGTATGGCATGCTTACATACCTCCCTCATACTGTCTTCCAATGTGTTCATCAACAAGTCTTTTCTATACCAACACTCAAGTATCGCATACAATTCGAGTCTCCTCAAGAGATTCCAAGCATCTATGAGGGCATCTGTCAGATGGCAGGCTTCAGATCTTGGAGTAGCTACGCATGCTCTTTCCAACACTCTATCAGATCCCAGAGCTTTGGCCGAGAAGAGCAGAGTCTCTGTCAAGTAGAAGAGCAACTTGATGAGAAGACAGAACGGTGACCGCAGATAAAGCTGAAAATGTAGGAGTGTGCGAGTCCGCAGTCCATAAACAGTAACAGAAACGAGAAGCAACTAACGACTCGTAGACTCCACGATTGGTCAATCACCTAGACGTCTTATCCAGCAGAAGTACCCGTCGCGCATACAATTCAAGACCTTCTCGTATCTTGTGAGGTTGGGAAGTTGAGCGGAGCCAAGAGCCTTGAGAGGAAAAGAAACATCTAAACGAGATGCCAAAATGCAGGTACGCGCACAAGCACAACCTAAAAAAGAAACAAGATGAGACCAGTTGGTCTCCAACCTGTGGCCCCGCAGATCGTCGCTTCCCCATGTTTTATACGGTGGGAGAGTGACGATCCCATTGAGACAACGAGAACAAACGCATAGCTGAGGCTCGGAATGCAGGTACCCGCGACATCACAACCCAGACAGGACGAATGAAACTCATCCCCCTGCTTAAAGATTTTGCCAATTGAGGTTACAAAAACCTCCACATTTGCAGTTGGATGGCCGAATTTCGCCTTCACTCCACAACTTTTGAGCTTGCTGGGAAATTCGCCAAAACCAAGCGAATTACAGCCAGGAACAATATATCAGTCCGTGATTGGCCTACCATTCAAAGCCTATATAAAATTCTTGCATATCTGGTTATAATCTCCTTGGAGACTTCTAACAGCATCTCACGACCACTGAGCCGTAAAAAGATGAGCGACAACCATCGCAACCATCCTCAAGAGACAAAGAACGACAAGTACTTCAAGACTCAAAAGAAACACAAGAATCCAACTAACAGTCTATAGACACAACGAATATTTCCCCCCAATTCGTGATGTCTGAGCATGACAGATCCTTGGAATCCCCAGATCTTCATCGCCACTTCCCCAGATTTTACACCCACTGTGGGGACGAGCGACGATCCCTCCGACGCAAGAGAATGAGACAGTCTCACTGGGACCATCTCCACCATACGTTGAGGACGCTCTCCACAAACATTAATAAAAAAGGAACATCCAGACCGCCGTAGGAGAAGGTACATGAGAACTATCCCATACCCTTACATCCCCATACACCCCATCCAAGACATCCGATATACAAACACCTCCTCACCCCTCAAAAAAAGAAAGCATCCAAAGTACAAAAAAACACACACCAGCAAACAAGCGCAGCGAAGAAGAGAGCAAGAAAAAAAAACCAGCCAACAACTTACCTCCAAAGCCACTCCACCCTCACCATCACTATCATCATGATCAAGATCCATGGTGATGCCCAATATTCACATCAACACTCATATCTCTCCAAAGCCTTCCGCAGCACCACAAACCCCCAGAGAACCTCAGCGCAGGATCCAGAACTCAATGCGATGAGACGAGATGCGTCGATCTAGGGTAGATGGATTGTGTTTTGTGGTTTGATGGATTCAGGTTTGCGCCAAGTTGGGATGGAGATACATGCATGCATGCATCGGAATGGAAAAAGTTATTTATCCGATTGGATCGTTTACAAAGAGTGGGACTGTACCTCTCTCTCCTACAGTACTTCCTTCCCTACGTACCTATCCTATGTACGTACTGGCAAAGGAAATTCCTAAGGTGAACATACCTACTCTAACTCCAAAAAAAAGTTTATATTCTAATGGTACCATAACAAATAACAGCCTTCCAAACCAGGGGATCTAGGAGATAAAAAGAGAGAGTTTCATGAAAAGACGTAGTAGTGGTTCACAAGGTACTTCTGTTCTGTACTGCCAACCTACCTACCATCCTCACATGTCCTCTACCCACCCTACGTCCCTCCTCACACTCCCCCAAGTCGCAACATAAACACAAGCAAGACACTCCACTCCACTCCAATCCCTTCCTCACATCCCAATTTCCCTACCTATGTCCTTAAAACCCTCAAAGGTAGCCCCATACAACCACCCCTCCACCAATCACATTATCACTTATCACTCATCATCTCAACCCCCCCCAAAAAAAACATCAAAAACCAACCACAGAAAATAAGAAAACGCTGTGTCCCTATACACCTAAATAACACCTCTTACACAAAACCACCCCTCCCTTCTCCCTTCCCCTTCTCCCTAAGATACCTACCTACCTACCAACCTATACTCTCACTCCATAAAAGATCTTCCGTGGACCATACATACCTACATACCTACATATACATATCTATATCTATTATATACCCAAGATAAGATAAGGTACGGTGCGGTAAGCTGCGGCAAGGTGCAATAAGATAAGGCCCTTAAAGGTATATAGTGTAACCTACCAACACCACACAAGCATATACGTAAAACAAACATCTCACCACACCACACCGTCAGCACCATAAAGGTCCCCCCCCACACAGACGCAAACATACAGACACACACACACACACACACACACACACACACGAAAAAACGCCACGTAAGTACCATACCATCCATATGCAGTCAAATATGCAATCAAGTGGATCTTGATTCTTGCGGATCAAACACAAAAAAAAAACAGCACAGGAACCTTGCATCATTCATCACGATCATCACGAAACTTAGCTCAGCCATCAAGGTACCTACCGTATAAAGGAAAACATCCATCCAGCCATCCAGCCATCCAACGAAATTAAAATAAAAAAATCAAAAGTCAAAAGTAAAGTCAAGGAAAGTTCTTTCTTCTCGCCAGACTAGCTGGTCCCATCATTCAGCTTGAAATTTGGAATATCCATAAAGAAGTAGGTTATTATAATTCATCTCTCTTTTTTCCTCTCTCTCCATCCTTACTCCTGTCCCTACAATCAATCTTGCAGCTCCCGTACCAGATATAAGATATCTCCCGGTAATGTAAACCATCCCATGTCTGTCTGCCTCAACAATTCCTTTCCCAACAAAAAACCCCCTCTCTCTTTTCCCTCCTCTCCCATCCCCCAAGTATAAAATTAGAATACGTATGTGCAATAAAACAAAAGAAATAAAAAAATAGAAGAGTTGTCCTTCGAGTGAGGTGTCCATCAAAGTTGAGTAAGAAAAGACCCCAGGTCGCTCGATCGATAGTAGTATGTCGTAATTATCGAATGAAAACTCGAGAGAGGGGTATCGAACGAATATCCCAATTTCCCAATGGCCGGCCCAGAAAGAAAAGGCGGAGTGGTGTGCAGGTGTAATGTTGAATAATAAAGTGCGTAATAAGTAAAAGAAAAAAGATCGAAGTAGTGGGTATGTGCAAGAAACCAAAAATCCGTCCATAAAAAAATGAGAGGTGCTGAATGCACGAGTTGTCGAGACCTATTTGTCTGTACTGTACAGTCACAGACAAATCCTCTCATTCTACGATCTGCTGAAGAAAACAAAAAAGCAAAAGTACGCCATGCTAATAAGACCATAACCCTTGCGATAAGGGTGTAGAAGAAAATGCAACCCTTCAAATCGATGCACGCCGGCAGATCAATCACCCCAGTCCGTAGTCTATGCACCCAAATCCCAGTCCCAGTAACGCCGCCGAATGGTATTATACAGAACCAAGTCGTAAAAGGGCCTCAATGGCCTCTCTTTCCTGAGAGTCCGAGGCCATGCCATATGCAGATAAATCGATATTATTAAGTTGTGAAGGCCGTAAAGGTGCAGATTTAGCAAGTGTATTGAGGGATGGCCCACCACCGCTGTGGGGTCCCCCAGGATATAAAGTCGTGAGATAATTGTTTCCAGGGCCAGAGGCGGAGTATGAAGCAGCTCGCAAGGCGGCAGCTCCCACTGCGGCCCAATCTTCATCGTCGGTAATGTCATCTGGATCGTCATCTCCTCCCATGACTTCGTCTTCTGGCTCAGCTTCTGAGGATGAACAGGAGTCTTCGTCATCAAGGGACATCTTGTCCGCTTCATCCTCTACCATGTTGTGGTCCATCTCATCATCGTGGGAAAAGACTGCCGAGTCACCAGCCCAACTGGATCCTGGAACATTCAATCGACCTCTGTCATCTCGCCATTGGTGGTTTTTAGCAATTGGCATGCCGGTAGAGTAGGAAGAGGATCCACTTGGGGGCGGTGAGTGCTGGCTGGATCTGCTCCGAGCATGTCCCTTTAGTCTTGCGTCCCAACGTCCCCATCCAACCTTTTCAAACTTGACTTCGCCCTTTAATCCACCACCATCTCCTGCGCTTCCTTTACCCTCAAGAGCGCCTACGACGAGTCTTCTAGCCTTCGCAGGAGGGATTCCCGAAAAGCCCGGAACGGAAGTCGTTAGGTAACCCATAATGTGACGAATAGCCAAAGGTCCATGGGACAGGAGAATTTCCGGGAGATGGTGTCTAGCGAGGAGGGCTGGAGTAATCGCACCAGCTGTATCAAAGCCTGGTGAGCCCTGCTTGCGACTCTTTTCGGGAAATGCATCCTCGCTTCCCGTCTGGCCGTCCCGGAGGTCCAAGTCAGATTCGACAGGATCCAAAGCCAGTTTGGCAGCGGAACGTGTTCCATAGGGCTTGTCGTGAGGAAGGATATTTGGAGAAATGGAGTTGGGAGGAGTAGGAAGAGGTTGGGCCTTTGTGGCCGGGACACTCATGGCCGCTACAGCAGTGAAGCTGTCTCGAACAGAGGCCTTGGAGATACCGCGAGCAGAGGTAGCCATGGCAGGCATTTCGATTGGAAGATTATATGGAACGTTTCTCTATAGGTCCGCGACCGGCAATTAGCAAAGAGATTTATGTGAAGAAGGTTGGGTTGTTCAGAAAATCGGAGTTTGGAGGATGGGCTGACTCACTCGACTTGCGAGAGAAACGTAGTAGAAATGGACAAAGAACGCGACAACGAAGCTGGTGACAGCGGTTGATCGAGTCGGCACGTAGCTAAAGAACAAGTACGAAGTGTTATCGGGCAAGGCAATGAAGCTGCTGCGATGTGCGAAAAGGGAGGAGCGATTTGGAAGGCGGGAGTGTGAGGGAAGGATGAAGGGAACTCGCAGATAGAGATACTGTAGATAGTATTCTCTGGAGAGCGAGAGCAAGAGCAAGAGCAAGCAAAAAAAGCGAGAGGTGCCGGACGGGTTTTGTTGCACGAAAAGCGACTGTTATGCAAGGACTTGAGGCGTTCTGAATTGATTCGTGGTGGTGTTGTTTGTAGAATGGTTGAGTCCGAGTTGGTAGTAGTAGTGTTTATGTGATGGTGCAGGGCCAGCAGGGGCCCACTTTACTGGGTTATTTTGGAAGCGCGGTCCACACAGGTACCTTTTCGCATGCTTGTCCGAGCCAGCAGGCCCAACACCAGCACCAGCAATCCCACCGATCCTCAATAACCCACATTAATCATATGGGCTACCCAGCCGGGCCATCTCCCGCAGGCGTGCCATGGCCTGCAATGCCACGGTGTAGTGGATTGCGGATCCGAAATCACTCAGCATCATCACTTACAATGGTGAGTCCCCGGTTCGAGGAGCTAAGGAGACCTTCCAGCAAATTCTATCGTCTTTTCTCTTTCACCGTCCCCTATTATTGACTCGGATTACCCCTTTTCGAAAAACGCATCGCATACCGCCTGTGCCCAATGCTTCACCGTTCTGCTGCGATACAGAAGAAATGCGTTGCGTGTCGCTGACTAGCGAAAGACTTACCTCTTACAGGAGGGTGTCACGTTCGAAGTATGCGAGATTCTCAAGGTTAGAATGTTCAAGGCTAGTCCTTATGCCCATCTGCTACAGTATGCCCATATACGGTATGCCCCTATCTGATATGCACCGCACCCCTTGCCAATCCTGAGCAGATGCCCGAATCTGCTAGATTCTGGAACACGTTTGCAAAAGAGTCTGGGTCTCTCTCGGCCTCTCGATCGCCAACCATCAACCCTGATTTCGGCGTCTGTCAAAAGCGCGCGTCGCGATGATGCGTACGGTGCGAACAAGGAACAAGCTATTTCGCCCGCTGCTCTCCCACGTTATTCGCCTGCCACTTTGAATCCTTCTGGGGGGCTCCTGGGATGACCGTCAGCTGCGATCCATCACCAGACCCCCCAATAATAACCCCTCAATCACCTTGGACCGAGAGAATGGTCCTCTACTTTACAATAATGCACCACGACGAGGTGTACGAGATACAGTAGTACTGTGAGAAGACCGAAGACATCCGAAATGCGGAACTTTTCCTTCACCCATCCAGCAACTTCCTTGGAGTCGTCTCGCATTTGAATGCCGGTGTTTTGTTTCAACGACTAAACAACCCCACGTTCCTGAGTTCATCCACCGAGAAGGGACCAAAACACCACGTTCAGTTCAAGTGCCTTGTAGGCCTACGGCACACAAGCAAGACGCGAACAAGAAGACCTAGAGTGGAGGAAGTGTTGTAGCAAATACCCATATTTTCCCCATACCAAGTGCTTGTGCGATTTCTCCCGAGAAATGCAGAAGCCAATTGGTTGTCTCCCGTGCTCGAAAGATGGGCTATCTATTCACGATTGCCAAAGTGGGGTAGGGCACTAACCCAATGAGCTACACAGCTGCAGCCTCTTCATCACGATGCTGCAGCTTTATCCAAAACTGGAGATTATTGTACTCCCGAGGTGGGCTGGTGGAACTCGCGAAGCAATAATGAAAAGGATGACGGCATCGCTAAGGTTGTATTTAACAGGTGACTAACCACACACAGCAAGGGAAGTTGATGGTTTCCAAGATACTCCCGCTTCTATGGTTGAACAATTCTCGATGCCCATACTCCAGTTCTTTGGCACATTGCCATCTTTTTCTCTGGCCTTGATTAGCCATCCAAGCATGTGTTGAATATGCCAATCTTTCTCTTTGGACTCGGTGAACCATTCAAGCATGTGTTGAAGTAACTAGTTCCCACGCGCATATGACACCTGGATGTCTACCTGGATGACTATCGTGGTGTCTATTCTTAAGTACCCAGTACTGCCTTAAAGTGCGATGATAGTTCCACCAAGATCCACTTGAGTAAGCTTCACGGGGAAAATCAGCATGATGAGGTGATCGTCAAGAGTTTTAGCTTCTGAGAGTATTATAACTCTTCTCGTAAGTTCTTTCTATTAGTGTAATTATTTTTTGGAAATGTCAGATCTTTAGTACGAGTACGTAAATATGATTTCCAATCTTTCTTATCTTGGCATCTAGCTACTTTAAGTCTGGCTGGAGCTTACGTATCTACATTTGCACCCGTCGGAGTACCGATTAGCTGGCTGTTGGTATTGTGTAGACTGATTTAGTCGGGTAACTGTCTATTGGATGAAATGAGTGGAGCTGAAGGCTTTGGGAACTTCAGCAGAAACAACAGGAAGATGTCACAAACAGAACCTATGCGCATGTCTTTCTCTACGTTACTTACGGCTTTTCCATTTTGGTTTCCTCGAGTTATTCTTTTCTTGTGTTAAAAGATGTTTCAGCAAAACTACTACCTCAGAGCGAAATCTAATACAGAACACTCAACACTCTTGGGTAATGCTACGGTGTACTCAGTTCGTTTTTGTGGCGGTGTTTCATGAGCTGGCGTCGATGCTCTCATTGGTAGGTCAAATCTCTATTTATGAATAGTCTTGAAGGGCAGAATCTCATAGATAGGGCGCCTTCGAGAGAATGAAATGCGGATATGCACTTTGGGCATGAGTTCAAGTTCATTGTCGCTCAATTATCTGTGATCGTTTAGGCGAGGAGTTTCAAAGAATACATCTTTCATGCGAAACTGTATCTAGTGAATTATCCTTGCATTTACCTGAGGGCTTGACATACGAATTGCATTGCCTTATGAAGTAGATTGAGGCACAGGAAGACATGAACTATCTCCGAGATGGCATCTGCCAGATAGGAGAAGGAGACTTATGTAAAGAGGCATAGTACTGTTATATCATAGATACAAAGGTATCACATTAATAAGTCTAGGAATTCAATGTTGAGGACGGTGTTTTCACTTTCAATCACCTGTAAATTTCATGCTTCCGTTTCTTCACTTTCCCACCTGAAGCTGAAGATAGCATGTGATACCACGGTCGAGTACCTGGGATGAAAGAACAATTATCCAACTTATATCACAATCAATTGCCCAAAGAAACTCGAAAAAGCAACACCTGCACAAGGATCACGGCTCTCGACAGTAATTGCTATTCTGTTTGCCCGCCAGGTAAGATAACACTGAGTTTCCCATTCGGCAGCCCTAGCCGTCAGTCGTTCCTTCCCCTTCACTTTTACTTTTACCTTCCGCCTTCCACTGCCACTGCCACATTCGACTTCCCGTCGCTAGCCTCAAGGCAAGGCAAGGTAGCCGCAAACGCGTCTGGGCTCCTGCCGCGACGACGGATTTATAGTTCCCGCTCAGAAACTCTGACGCCTTCGCTATCAACAACCTCACACTCCTCCTCACCACCATCAACCTCCTCTTTCTCCACCATCCAACTCCATCTTTTCCTCAATCTCTTTAACATCTTCATATCATCTCGAGTACTCGTACCGACTTGAGCTCTGATCTACATCATAATCATCCTTCAGTCTGTCAGGATCTCATTCATTCACCCCAATTTCAAATCTGTTCACTGCAAACGCGACATCGCAGCCTCGGCCTTGCGATATCAAACTCTATCTCAGCCCCTCTGTAGATCTAGTAAGTTGAATAGAGACTTCACAAAGCTACATCATCGTCCTCTCTTACATCTCACACCATCCACTTCTCTGTCTTTAACTTCGTTTCTGTGTCTCAATCCCTTCTTGCGCCTCTTGCTTCCTTCACAATTGTGATACCTGGAGTTTCTCAGCTTCACATATCTGACTTCCTATCCAGCTCATCCCATCAAGCCGCCAAGATGACCATCGAGTACCTCTCTGCTTCCAAGTAAGTCCACCTCTAACCGTCGCAGCTTTACTTTCCTCCCCTAACATTCAATCAGACTCAAAGAGATCGCTCTCCCAGCCAAACTTCGTTGCATCCAGTGTCAAAAGTGGAAGCACAACGGCCTCTTTTCCAACCGTCAACTGAACGAGGTTCGTCGCGGAAACACGCGCAAGCTTCGATGCCAGGGCTGTACCGTTGACCAGTATGTCCTCTGCAGCTTGGCTCCTCGTCAATCCCATGCTAACGATTATTTCCAGACGAGAAGAAATGGAATGTGAGGGACCATGGTAAGTTGTTGGCAGTTTAAAATACAAAATTGTCCCTGTGCGCGGAACTGACCGTTGTGGCAGCTCTGAAGTCAAATCCCTCGATAAGTTTAGCAAGAACGCGCGAGGTGCCCATGGAAGCCACGTAAGTATTGGCCTCGTTGATTTGTGTTCCAAGCTAACTTTCATCGACAGTGGTGCTTAGAATGTACCGACTGGAAGGCAACTGGTGGTCCAGGTGTTGCGACAGGTCCAATTCCTGGAGGATTGCTTGCACCGGATGAAGAACTTTACTTGGGACGCGGTGGTAGTGCTGTCCAAGACGGAACTCGTTCGGAGAGTCAGTGGGAGACCGAGACCGCAGAAGAAGATGATGGTACCGATCTTCTTAGCAATGTAAGTTTCCCCTTCTGGGTAGCGAAAAAGAATATTCCTAAAGTGGCAATCAGGCTACCGCCCCTGGTCCGGCTGCTTGGTTCAATCCTCCTCCTCCTACTACTACTACTAAAGACTCAAGCGTCGTCGATAAGATGAGCTCACTCAACATCAACAGCCGCAGTGACGGGTATGTTCCGCCACACCTAAGACACCTTCAAGGTCCTTCCAAGTCCACTTCGGTAGCCTCATCTGTTTCAAATCCTTATGGATCAGAGACACAAGAGAAAAAGCCGGCACCTGGGGTTGTGGTGTGGGATAGTGTCGAAGAGATACCAGAACCAATTCATTATGAATGTAAGCGGGCTTTCACCTTGAGTATCAATAGATATACAAGATTTTGTGGTTTCTGACTCTTTGCTATCCATCTAGCTTGGGACAACAAGGGTAACCACCACTATCAAACCCGCAATCCTTCTATCACTACTCCCTCGATTTCAGGTGGCCAGAGTGCCTTTTCGACAGCTGGGGGTGCTCAAGTGCAGCGTGGTAGTAACGTTTGGCGACCAGTAAGCTTATGTCTTATTACCCGCTTGTATACACAAACTGACTTTTCTTTCTAGGCACAACGAGCTGCACTACCACGATCAGCGCCCGCCCCTGCACCAGCTATTAAGCAGGCTCCTCAAAAGGTCAGATATGGTATTGAGGGTGATTCTGACTCCGATGATTATGAATATTGTTGAATCATGCGAGGTCAAGCGAGGGTCAGGGTACTTTGATGCGTCTACTTGATGGGCGTTCTGCGTTGAGAGGTCTTTACTGACTTTTCGACAACAAGCGTTGATGTTACGGCGTTTTTCTTTCAATCGTTTTCTTCGTTGCAAAACTCCCGCGTTGATTACCTTGACTGGGAAGTACATGCCGCCAGGTTCTGATTGTGGAATGACCAGCGTTGAGTTCAGGGCTTTTTTCTCTTCTTCATTTGCTGCAAATGTTTCATGGTGCTCTCAACAGGCGATCAATACGTGGAAGGGATTTCAAAAATATTTGAGAATTTGCAACGGAGCTTCAAGTGATCCGGGAATGGGAACTCACTTGCTGACACTAGCTTTGCATAATTCACATGATGTCCTCGAGCGAAAAGATTGGGAGATTCGGGGAAACGTTTCTTACCATAATTGATTCCAATACAATTCTTTAATCAAAGAGGGGTCTCTACTTGTCACTTGTGAAACTAGCATTTTGAAAAAATTGATGATGTGCTCTGGTTAACTTGGGGGTGTTAGTTGGTCCTTGTACTTGACTCTGATTGTCGTTGTGTTGCATAAGATGTTTGTAAGCGGGTATTTTAATAGCACTTAACTACATACCTTCCCAGACCTTATACTGTTACACTGTATCATATAAGATTCCTTCTTTCACACTTCCCCCTTCTCCCCCATTCCCTTTCTTGTTTATCCTCTATAGATTATACCAGACTGTATCATTCATGGCTTTTGTTTGGTTAGTCCTTTCTTTGTATAGATATATAGAGGTTTTCATAGTATTACTTGGATGTTTTTATAGTTGAGGGGGGTAGGGGGAGGGATAGGGATAGGGATAGGGATTGGGATAGGGATTGGGATAGGGATTGGGATAGGGATATAGAAGGGGGGATTTAAGTAGGAGTTATTAGTTAGTGTTTAATATTTTTTTATAGTGATATAGAGAGATGGGGGGGGGG